TCATAATTTTTTCAAATAAGACGGATGGTCAAACATTAGACACGGAAACCATGGTTTGTCTTTTTTTTTTTTAGACGGAGGGAGTACAAGAGAAGTACAGTGCCGATTTTCCGCCGGACATTAATTCGCAGCGTGTTGTGCGTCAGTTTTGTTGGCAAGACCTGTTTGTTTTCCTCTGATTGGGAACATGACATATATCTACTGCATTCCAACTCGTTAGGTGACCCCAAGAATCGAATCATTTCCCCCCCTCCGTACAAAAACCACTGGGCTTATTAAATAGAGATATGATGTTACACACTCTACAAACACAGGTGTACAAGAGGCAGCAATCATGGAAATCTCAAGCGTTCAGTACTGAAAAAAATCTCAAGCATTCAGACTGAAAAGAAGTGTAGCGTTGAAGAAAAGTTTATGTGTATTTAGCTTTGGTCAGTTTTCCCTGCAATAGCTCATGTTATGTCATTTCCCTATCATTTGAGTTCCAATCGAGAACGCTTTGCTTTACAATTGCGTGTTTAGATAGTGCTTGGTTCCCTAAGGATATGATGGATATCGGCTAATTCGCGAGCACGTAGTACTCCTTAGTGCCTAGAACGTAGCACATCCCTAATTAATCTAACTAAATAAATTAAATTTATTCCCTAAAATTTTCTGCAAAATAGATGGGCAAAGAGAGCTAGCATCTCCAGCAAGGATTCTAAATGTAGAGCCCCTAAACAACTTTCGAGGGTTGAGCGTAGAAAACAAATTCCAGCAGAGTCCTTATTACAACCTCTAGAATAGTAAGGCACCAAAATCTCACCTCCAAGCCTCTAGTTTTGGAGACTCTAGCCACAATCCCCATCTATTTTTTCTACACGAGATGACAATTTCCTTTTCGTGTTGTGTCACCTCCATCCAGGGGACGTTGCGACAATGCCATTGTTTCCAACCTCACCGCTCCTGGTGATCTCCTGCGTAGGCGCTGGTATCGTCCTCACCTGACAGGCTGCATGCCGCCGGGCACATGAACACCAGCTGTGTGCTCCATGGCCGCCGCCCTTTGAACCATCCCTGCCCATGCCATCTTTTGCATGTCCTTGGCAGTGTTACATGGCTTTGCTTTTAATTTTTGATCGAACTTCATGTTGTGTCTAAAACTTTGTTCAGTGTTTTGATCTGTTATTAATTAGAATAAACCTGATTATGATTAATATGTCGAGACTTTCATGGTATGATATGTCATTTTCATTTCCATTTGAAATTTTGATTTTGAATATGGTTGAATATAAATTGTGAACATGGTGTTTACAATTGTGAATTTAAATATGGTTGAATTCTATGTGTTAGAAATATTTATGTTTGAATTATTGTAGTGTTAAACTAGTCATAAAGATAGAGTGTATATTGAAATGAAAGAGAAAACTAAAAAAATAAGGATTGAGAAATGGAGACTACTACTAGATTGGAGGCATCTTTTAGATCTTGAATAAATGGGGCAGCCTCCATTTAAACTATAGGGGCTATTGTTGAATATGCTCAGGTTGGCTTCTGCCGGCCGCCAATTTTTTTTTATACAAAAGCAAGGGATTTACTTAGCTTGGACCTCTAATTCATATGAATTCATTAGAAAGCTATATAAAAATGAATCGTGTTGTGGAACAAAATCTTTTTACTTTAATTCCTGAATTCATGTACTGATTGCCACATTATGGGTCCATACTATCTTCAGAATGTCCATGGTAATATAGCCCCTTTTTTTCAGCTTCTTCATTATATCACTACCGTAGATTATTTGCTCCATGCTTCTAAAAATATGATTTCTCAAAAATAAAGATCTTATTGTGCATTACTTAGGCCACTTGTTCTAATATGTTTTGTATGTTTACTTTTAAATATTAATTCAACCTTACAATAAGAAAACGTACTGAAGCACAATTCCAGCAATAAGAACAGCTGAATGTTTTCAACAACTTATGTTTTGTCTTTCAACTTTTTTTTTGTTATTCCAACGCATGATTTAGATTGTCATATCCTAATTGTGTTCTTTTCATGTGCTGTCGTTTTGTCTGCTCTAACTTTTTAAGCTCATATGGTGTACATAATCTTTTCATATGTTGAGTTGCAATATAGCTGTTACATTTCCCCACATGTTTTGTGTATGCTACTTGACTACTTCATGGATGAAAAAGGATAAGAGGAATGCTTTTAACTTTTGACGTGATCATGGCTTTTACATGGGTTTAGAATTTTCCTTTTCTGCTAAGAAAAAGCCATTCACTTTCTCACTACATTTATTTTTCATCCCACATTTCCAATTCTATAATATTCATATGTACTAGATGGTCAAGAGAATAATGCTCATACAGCACACGACGCAAATTAAACAACTTCATCCATGCTTACACAGCACAAGCAAACAACTTCATCCATCGCAATAAATAATAACTTTTGTACATCCAATTGCATTTTATATCCTCACTGTCACGTGTTGCTTGCCCTATAAGGCAAATGTTGTTTCATGCATATATATCTGCCGAATTTTTTTGTTGTAAAGAAACATTGCACCGATAAGGTAGGGAGTTGGCCCTAAACATTCTTTTTGGTTGTGAAAGTTGTTTGTGCCATGGTCGTCGTGATGTAAACTTTCTGCAAAACACGATTTTAAAGAGCTCGTGTGATCCAAAAGTTCCTCAAGATCAGTGATATGATCCACATAGAGGTTGCACTTTAACCTATACTCTAAGATGCCTAAATGCGTTTTCTTCCACTAATTAAGCTGGATGCATGCACATGTGCATAAAAAGCAACATGCCGAACTCATCGCTTAATTAATTGGTGATAGAATTCTTCTCCAAGTTAGTATGGAGATATATGTAGTGTGCACTTTTGGTCGATCAATATTTATTGGCATGTGTAGCTTTATGTTTTATCATGAGGTTGGTAGCTAGCCTAGGTTGATTTAGACACGATACTCATGCAAACTGATTAACTGAACGTCACAAATCAAGAAAAGAAAATGAGGTTACTTTTCTCTTTTTGACCGCAGCGTAGTGCCCGTGTGCTTTTTATACAGAGGCCAAATAAACGAAATATATTTTTAAACGTGTACTAAATGTTAAAAAACAATGTTAATAAATTGCATAAATACAAAAAAATAGATCTCAAGGTCTCTAATGATTACCACGTGAAATAATAATAAAAAAAGAACATATGCCCTATACGATTGTGGTGGATTTAGATTATAACGGTGTACATTGCTCGATATGGTTGTATACAAACTACAATTGCATTTATAAAAACATAAATTGGTCAGTATAATTGTGTACAAGGTATGGTTCGATCTGTTTATAAAAGTGAAAACAAGAATTGGATGTCAAATCCAATTATACTTTTCAAATCCAGATTTGCACAAAACTACACACACACACACATTTGGACCTAACAGGCTAGATAGTTGTCGTAACACTGCCAAAAAACCGATTTCAAAGCATGTAGTAAACTGCTGTCATTTTAGTTTTTCTACATATAACAATACATTGTTGATAATTTTTTTAATTAACTTGGTACGTACACCCATGGTTAAAGTACTGGTCCCGGCCATGTCCCAACAAGAAGAGAAGACCTTTGATTGTGCCATAAGACACATTGAACCAAAAAATGTTTCCAAGAAGACTAAACGTTCGCTGGTTTTCATTTGGAATTTGACTATAGAAATGCTATGGAAAAGTTTCAATCTTTTTCCCGTGAATTAAAGTGGTCTATATGAAAAAAGTCCATAGAAAATTGAATCTTCCAAACATTCTTTGTCAATTCTCCATTTTCTACATTGCTTAAAAAAGAAAAACACAAAACTTCAAAAAAGGTGTTTGAAGTAAGAAAAAGGAAAGAAACCGTTAGTTATGACCTCATGGAAAACTTCCTCTAAAGTCATAGGATTATCATTCTATAGAAATTTCAATGAGAAATATAGAATTGAATTATCCTTAATTTTCCTTATGAATTCACCGAGCCAAAGGGGTCTAGGCTCGTTTAGTTTATAGGATTTTGAAACATAGAAATAGTATGAAAATACATGTGCAAGTCTGAGAATTAAAAATGGATGAATAGGTAACATAGTCACGGAAGTTTCGCTTCGGGCTCAATTTAGTCCTTGAGGTTTCAAATCGTCCAAACAAGTCCTCCAAATTAATCATTTTGGTTAATATAGTCCTTGGACCAACAAAAAGTGCCACGTTAGCATGACAAGTCATCCTCGCATGCAGCGGTATGAATGAAATGACCATTCTACCCTTATATACCATATAGAAAAGAAAGAAAAAAAAGAAGATAAATGTTTCACACGTGTATGATTGTTTTAGAATCGTCATTTACGATTGCTGTAGCCAGCACTGATAGTGTAAATTCCTTTGTTGGCCACCCTCCACAATTCTTTTTGTTTGTGTCTTTTCTTTCTTTTGTATATGATATATAAGGGTAGAATGATCATTTTATTCATACCACTGCATGTAAGGATGACTTGGCATGCTTACGTTACATTTTTTGTGGGTCTGAGTACTATATTAACCCAAATAATAAATTTGGAGGACTTGTTTGGACGATTTGAAACATCGAGGACTAAATTAAGCCCGAAGCGAAACTTCAGGGACCGTATTAGCTATTCACCCATTAAAAACATAGAAAACTTATCTTTGATTATTTAGCAAGCCAACCAAAGGATATTGAAAACATTGTCTTGAAGTGGATTATTTTTTTTCGTGTGTTTTCCCCCAAAAAGTGGAGAAATAGAAAATTTTTTCTTTGCTGGATTCCTTTGAAACGAATGGATATTCTTATATGTTTCCTTTATTGAAATGAATGAGCCCTAAACGTTTATGTAAGGTTTGCTATACGTCGGTCAAATCACTTTAATTCAGAGTAGTTCTTTCTTAGACAATTAAAATGTTTTACCCAGCTGGCTATCTACCATAGGGCACAACTAATGTTTTTTTAATTAATTTCGAGGGAGTCTTTATCAGTTGATTTTGTAACATTGTGACAAAGTAATTTCCAATATATCAGTATGACATCACTGAATACATCTTTTGCCCAAATGTCTGACGGCAACAGCCAACAGTAGTCTGCTTCACTGGTCAACAAAACAGAAAGGTGATGGATCAATTCATCCACATGTTCAGCAAGAGGGCGTAGGGCCACGGGCTCACCGTGGGCCTCCACGTGGAAGCTATCCCAGCCATCCACGTATACTCAGTCTAAGAGCACCCTATCCTACTACGTCCAGCCTCCGCCGCCGCCGACCACGTCGCCAGCGGCGTTGCCACGGCCGGCGGTGCGCCGCCGCCGGCCTCCAGCACGGCGCAGGCGATGTGCCTGTTGGCCGCCTCGGTGAAGTGCACGCCGTCCCACGACACGTACGCCGACGGGTCCGCGCACGCCGTCGACCCCGCCGCGCCGCAGAATGCCGCCATGTCGAAGTTGTACGCGCCGGCGCCGGCGCCGCAGCACGCGGCGAGCGGCGCGCCCCCGAACCCGTGCCTCCCCGGCGAGGCGACGATGTCGGCGACGGCGCGGTAGAGGTCGGCGTAGGCCACGACGACGGACGCGCCTGGGTGCGCGCCGCGGAGCTCGGCGACGGCGCGGCGCAGCTCGCGGTTGTGGTGCTCGGCGAGGCCGTTCAGCCGCGTCATGCAGCCGGACTCCGGGTCGTAGTCGTCGCCGGCGACGCCGCCGCCGCCCTGGTAGAGCGCGAGCAGCTGCGGCTCGCAGCCGAGAGGTATCATCCCCGGCACCACCACCGTCGTCGCTCCGGCGGCGATCACCTCCTGCAACACACACACACACACACATGAGATCGATCGAAAACCTACGTGTCGTGACACTGGTCGATGTGTCATTACTGATCAAGATGATCTGCTCTTTTTTGTGAACGCGCAAAAAGATTACACGTCAGAGAGTTGATGTTACACAACGCAACGATCGTACCAATTAAACTTACGTACGTTCACGGTGGAGCGGATGGCAGCGACGATGTGCGGCACGACGGAGGTCTCGACCTCGCCGACGGTGAGGTTGCCGACGAGGGAGACGAGGTAGTCGTTCACGCCGATCTCCCCGACGATGAACAGCGAGCTCGCCATGATCTTCCTCCTCCCTATCAAAAGTGAACCAACACGCATTTTTCCGGCACGTGCGTTTATTAATGATGTCAGAGAAAAATAAAAAAGCACTCGATGATACACTGATCGAACATTTCGGCCGGTAGATGGCACGTCGCGATCCACGTTAATTATTTCTAATGTTTTTTTTTTGATTTTTTTACCGTGATCTGAAGATCCAAGAATCTGCAAGACTTTGTAGAACCAGGCGGTCTGGTTCGCGAGAGAGACCGGCACGAACGGCTTGAGACCACGGCCCTCGTAGAACTCCGGCGGCAGCGCCGTCGACCCGCCGACGGCGAAGTTCACGCCGTGCCGGAACTCCGCCGCCGTCTCGCCGCCGGCGGCGAGGTACGGCGCCGGGTGCCGCAGCCGCAGCGCCTCCACTGCACGTCGTCACGTCGTGATCAGAAGTTTGCCATTTTGGTTTTGAGAATGAATGTGTGGTGGTGGTGGTTGGCTACCGATGAAGTCGACGGCGAGGCGGCCGTCGGAGGCGCGGCCGGTGGGGCGGCGGAAGAAGGTCTCGCCGTAGGGAGGGCGGCTGGCCGGGCCGCCGCCGCCGCCGGTGGACGGGAGGTGCAGCGCATTGCCGGTGTCGGTGAGCGAGTCGCCGAAGCTGAACACGCGGGTGTAGGCGCCCGTCCCGCCTCCGGCGACGGCGGTGGCGAGGACGCCGAGGAGCGCGGCGGCGGCGGCGACGAGATGCGGGGAAAATGGCGTCATCGATATGCTTCCCGTGGTTACCGGCTCGGCGAGGGTTCTATCTATTTGTAATTGGCGTCCAGTAGGAAAGTCTTTTTTTTCTCTCTCTTTTATGTATATATTTTAGCTGTCCATTCTAAGTCATAATTTTTTTGACAAATTCAGAATCGAAAAACAAATGAGATTGTCTATACTCTATAGTTCATGCCCAACCATATTTTGTTATTCTTGTTGTTTAAGTTGAATTTAAAATTACATGATTGTAAAGCAACACATCACACATATTGATCTATCTCACCATGGTTTTTTAAAGTTTTGAATAAATTTTACAAAACTACAAGACTTTGATTAGCCTATCAATTTAAAAATGTGTATCACAAAATTATAGATTTAACATTATATTTTCAGTAAACTACATATTTAAAGGTATCGTATTATAAAACTACAAATTTAACATCAGTTTTGTAAAGAAAACTAAAACTTTTGTAATCTTAATAGTTACTTGAATATCGCTAAGTCTAATTTTATAATACAATTTCTAGGTCTAATTTTATAATACGATTTCTAGAATATGTAGTTTTGGAAATAATTTACCGCTAAATTATAGTTTAGGATACAATTATTTAAATCTGTAATTTTACAATAGTTTCATCAAAATTCATGTAGTGTTATAAAAACATACTCTAAAATGTTCAATCGTGTTTAAGCGAGGGGTACAAAATGAGGTAACGTTCATTCAAAGGGAAAAAAAATTCAAAACAAAACGAAACACCTCCGGCGTGGTGTGGACACCGATGGGATTGCGACGAGAGACGTGACGGATACCGACTAACTGACCGAGATCTCAATGAATTGACGATTTCACACTTCCAAAATTAAAATGGCACACGTCCAACACAAGAATGCAAGACGCAGGATCAACGACGTCGTCGACGACAAGGAGGAAGAGTCATGTAATAATCGTGTTTATTTCGCGAACACTGCAAACCAAATTTAATTTCCCTGACATTTTGCTCCCTTTGATGCCGTGTTAGAATTAATGAAGCTAGGAGGGTTGGGCTAGCCTGGGTTTGGCCCACAACCAATAAAGCCGACGCGGTCCAGAAGGGACACGGCCATGACTTTTTTTTTTTTAACGGTACGACCATGTGACCTTATTTTTATTTTAGCAAAAGTACGAATTACCCCCTAACTATCGCGGTCGACCTAATTACCCCTGAACTAAAAAAAACCAGACATTGCTCATCCTAAACTTTTAATACCAGACGAATTACCCCTCTTAACCCAATTCAGAGCGGTTTTGTTCTACGTGGCGTACGCGTGACAATCCAGTTAGCATTTTATTTATTAAAAAAAGGTGGGACCCACATATCATACTCATCTTCCCTACTTCCTCTCTTTCTACTCTCTCGCACGACTCTTCTCCTCTCTCTCTCGTATGGCGGCACAACGGCGCGGGGATGGGTGGTGGGCGGGGACGGTCGGCGCGGGCGCAGGTGGGTGGGGGCAGTCGGCACGGGTGCAGGTACGCACGGCGGCGTGGAGGGGCGGGCGGCGGACTGTGGCGCGCTGGGGCGAACGACGGACGGCGGTGAGGGACGCGGAAGCGAGAGTGGCGGACACTCGAGTGGGAGCGCCTCCGACACGACTGCCTTCCTTACCTCATGGGGGTGACGCGGCGCCCGTGACGCCGGCGGTAGGCTCGGGCGGGATGGGAGGGGGAACCGGTCAACCGGGCGGCAGTCGGCTATGTGGATCCAGTCGGCGGCGGCAGCCAGCGCCACGACGCTGAGTGCCGTCCCTGCAGAGACGTTGCTTCCTGCCGCCGCCTTCATGTCCCGCATCGCCACCCACCGTGTCCTGCGCTGCCGCCGCCGCCTGCCGAACGCCTGCCGCGGTGCCGCCAGGGAAGGGCGCGCAGCGAGATCGGGGAGGGCGCAACGCCATCCGCTGTCTCCAACACCCTCCTCGGCGCCACCCGCCGCGCCCTCCCCGCATTTCACTGCCGCCCCCACGCACCGACCACCCATCTGCCATCGTGCGCCGCTGCCTACCGCCCGTCCGCCCCTGCGCGCCGCCCGCCGCTCGCGGTGCCGCCCACATCTCGCCGCGCCCGCCGCTGCCGCTTGCGCCGCCGCCCACCTCTCGCCCTTGCACTGCCCGTGACAGTGAGAGAGAGAAGAGTGAAGATAGAGAGAGGAAGAGAGGAAGGAGAGGTATGACAGGTGGGTCCCACAACTTTTTAATAAAGCAAATGCTGACCGGATTGCCATGCGTACGCCACGTAGGACAAAACCGTTCTGGATTAGGTCGAGGAGGGTAATTCGTCCGGTATTGAAAGTTCAGGATGAGTAATGTCTGGTTTTCGGGTTCGGAGGTAATTCGGTTAACCGTGATAGTTCAGGGGGTAATTCGTACTTTTTCCTTTTATTTTTTATTTAAACGCTATATACTCACTACGCACGTAAAATCATCCTTATAAACTTTATTTACGAGAGCTTATTATACATAAGACTCTCAGAATCTAAATTTCGAAAATATGTAGCTGTAAAATCTGAAACGTGAACTTTAAAGCCAGAAGCTAAAAAAGACTAACCTTTTTCAAATTCTCACCGACTCTTTCTTATGATATGATTTTCAGCTACCCAAATAAGGCATGTATATACTTGTTTTGTTGACTTCATTCAAGAAAACAAACTCCCTCGTTTCATATTATAAATTGCTTGACTTTTTCTTAGTCAAACTTATTTAAATGTGATCAAGTTCGTAGAAAAATATAGTAATATTTTTAATAAAAGAACATATAATCAAAATATATTCAATGCTAATTTGGTGTTGTAAATGTTGCTAATTTTTTCTATTAACTTAATTAAAACTAAAGAACTTTTTTTAAAAAAAGTCAAATGACTTAAAAGAGAGAGTAGCTTTTAGCTAAATCCTGACATTAATATAGATGTGGAAAGACAAATATGCCGTTAGGACTATGTGATTTTCCTCCTATTATATTGTATTTTTTCTAGACTTTTAGCATGCCCAAACTTTAATAAATGATTGTTTACATCTGACGATTAGAGCACCCGCAATGGTAAAGTAAGGTGCTATCTATAAAACATGTAAATCTCAGCAATAGACTAGATTAATAGTAAATCACTTCAATGGTATGTCTACATGGATATCTATAGCTCTCTAATCCATTGCCTCGTTTTTCTCTATAGACTATCTCCAGGTTAGTAGATAGCTTTGCTCTTTCTCTCTTCATTTAATCTCTTCCAAGTAGGAAAATATGCTGACATGGATCTCTTGTAGAGAGCCTATAGATAACCATTGCGGTGCCCTTAGAGGCTGGGTGGTGGTCTCCAACCAACCAAGGAAGGAAAAAAATGAGGATAATAAAAAGTTCCAATAAATCCTGAATTTAAAAATTATGTATTTATGCTATAAATACTTCAGTAATAAATAAGGTTTTTATGGAGCGAGATAATACGTGACAACAACATAATAAGATCTATATTCATCCTTAAAAAAGTATAGTTTTAGCTTTAAAAAAATGTCGCATAAATAGTGTCTTTTTAGAGTGGAATCATTAGACCTCCTTATTATCCCTTGGTCTTTCTCATCTCATTCCAACTGTATTCTTTCCTTCTCATTCTTTTTCCTTCTTATTTCCTCTCTTCATATTAATGCAGAGCATATTAACAAAATGCATGTTTAATATGTCTGGACTCAGGGGCGGATCCAACATGGGTGCAGGGGGACTCGAGTCCCCCCTACACCCACAAGACCTATGGATACCCCTCGGAGCACCCCTTTGATTTTTTTCACCGTAAATGCTAAATTAAAGGTTTTTAGATGGCTAGAGGTCGAAGAAACCATGTAACCGAGGCCCCCCAATTTTCTGTTTCTGGATCCGTCCCTGCCTGGACTAACTAAAACGATGGTCTTTTTAGGACGGAGGGAGTATATAGTTGATGATTTCACGGTCGTGTCAGGATGGCACGGGCGACGAGCTTGTTGGTGGCCTCCGTGTAGTGGATTCCGTCCCATGACACCGACGATGATGGGCCGTCCGCGCACACCGTCGACCCTGGTGTGGCGCAGAATCCCGTGAAGTTGGCGTTGAAGTTGTACGGCTCACCGCCGCTGCCGCAGCATGCCGCCAACGGCGAGCTCCCAAACCCTGCCGAAAACAACATCCACCCATATCAGCAGCGAGACGACGATGATGATGGATTCGTCTCGCGTGCGGAGATTGTTCTGTCGCCGATTGAAAAAGAAATTGAAAATATATATCTTTTTCTACCGGTTTTATAGAAATATACACGTCTGGAAAAAGGATAAAAAGATATCGTTGTCACTTGTAATATAAAACGGGGAGAGTACCGTATTCTTTGGGCGAAGCGACAGCTGCGGCGACTGGACCGTAAAGGTCGGCATAGCGGACGGCGGTGGCGCCGGGGTGGGCTCGGCGGAGCTCGTGGAGCGCCCGCTGCAGCTCACGGTTGTGCAGCTCGGCGAGGTCGTTGAACCGCGTGATGCAGCCGGACGCCGGGTCGTAGTAGTTGCCTGCGCCACCGGGGAAGAGGGCAAGCATCTCCGGCTCGCATCCAATTGGTATCATGCCGGCGACCACCACCGTCCTTGCTCCGGCGGCGATCACGGCCTGCATATATACACACACACACACAACTCAATTGCAAGACATGTAAGCAAAGCAACCGGCCACGAATCAAATCGAGCGGGCCACTACTACAAAAACATATTTTTTTCAAACTGTCGAAATAGTTTTTTGCGTGCGGTTGTACCAACTGCCTGCCCAATAGGGCATATAAAAATGATAATATTTCCATGCGGGTGGTGCACCGCATGCGGAATGCAAGCGCTTAAGCCGTGTGCAAGCGAAAAATGAAAAATCGCAAAAAAAAAAATCCAAAACACAAAAACCTAACCCTAACCCTAGCTAATCGCCACCGCTGCCATCGCTGGCGGATCCGCCTCTCCCATCTCCACCGCCGGCGGATCCGTAGCTCCCGTTGTCGCCGACAGTGGATCCGCGCCTGCCGCCGGAGCCCGCACATGCCACCACCGTGCCGCCCAACTCTGGATCCGCGCGGGGGAGGGCGGGGGAGAGCCGCCACCGGCCTCCTGCTCGAGTCTGTCGCCGGATCTGCACGGGGGAGGGCCAAGGGGGCCGCTGCCGTCGTTGCAGTCACCGGATCCACCACCCTCGCCACCAGACCTCGCAATCGCTGTCCTCGTCGCATTAGCTGCTCCCGAGGGTGGCGCCGTCGAATCCGGCGCCCACCGTCGCCGCGCAGCCATAGCCGCTCCCGAGTGCTGCGGATCCTGTGCTCCCGAGGATGGTACCGCTGAATCGGCTGCCGTTGCTGGCGCCGCAGCCGCTCCTTGCCCGCCGACGCTCGCTTCCGCTCGAAGAGGAAGAGAGAAAGACGAGAGAGAGGGGAGAGTTGAGGAGAGGAAGAGAGAGATAGTTGGAAAAATTTTGATGTGGTGAGAAGGAAAAGAAAGTGGAGGGAGAAAAATATTGTGAAGAAGGGAGGGAATTTTTTCCTGCAGAGCATTTAAGAGGTCCACATGCGAAAATAGATTTTTGTATGCTGCCTCTTAAGAGAACCACATGCGAAAATATGATCATTTTCACAAACGGCCCCTTAAGAGGTCCGCCTATGAAAATAGATTTTTTTTTGTATGCGCTCCTATTATAAAGTCATCTGTGAAAATGGAAGTCCATTTTTTAGACGAGACAGTTACAGTCCGTTATACCGTCTATAACCTACAGGGTCCTTGTACAGAAAAAATATTTTTATGGTAGTATGCGCTGCTCTTACAGTGACGGCCGAACGGATGACGGCGATGATGTCGGGCACCAAGCTCGCCGCAACGTCGACGGTGCCGTTGCCGGCGGAGAGGGCGAAAGAGTAGTCGTTGAATCCGATCTCGCCGAAATAGAAGATTGAGCTTGCCGCGATTGTGTGCTTCTCTGAAGTAGTAGAAAATATTGGTGGTAAAAACATGTTATGGTGGGGACGTACGGTGCGATCAAATTAAGTTACGCCGCTTAAAAAATTATTCAAGCAAGACATTTGTATTTCTTCGTGTTAAACTTCACTCAAAACTGTACAATTTGACAACCCAAATCGATCAGAAGCCACATGTGAATTAATTCACCGACCCAATTGTTCAGTCAAAATTCAAAACTGTGTTTTCCATTGGTTCAAATAGACAACCCAATTGTTCATTTTGTGTTTAGATACACTCCCTCCTTTTCTTTCCGTACTGTAAAATGTAAAATGTTTTGTTCTCTCCATCGCCTTATCTAAATTTATTAATATTCATTTAAATTTGGGCACATATATAAAGCGCATATACATAGATCAATTAATGTATGAATCTATTCAACACCCAAAAAATCTTACAGTGTGTGAAATAGAGAAAGTATTAAACTTTCGTGATTAACAGTGAGAGTTTCCAAAAGTCTTTAAATGGCAGAGCTCCTATCCGATCTCTCAAAAAAGAAAGACTTTCCAAAAAAAGTCTCTCTCTATCAGGGAATAACCTACCAAAGCCTGATTGAGTAATTTTGTTAAGGCCTGTTTAGTTTCCATCTTTTTTCTTCAAATTTTCAACTTTTTCGTCACATCATTCCAATTTTTTCAAACTTTTAATTTTAGCGTGGAACTAAACACGGCCTAATTACTTTCACTCTATCAATCAACTAGGTAACTATTAACATCAGAAGCATGAAATTAATGTTGTGCAATGCTAGCTTAATTACCGTGCGCTGATGCGCCGAGCAGCTGCAGGACATCCTGGAACCACCTCGTCTCGTTGCTGAGAGACACTGGCACGGAGGAGGTCATTCCCCTGCTCTTCAAGAACGCCGGGTCAAGCGCCGTCGCGCCGCCCACCGCGAAGTTCACCCCTCGCCGGAAGTCCGCCGCCGTCTTTCCGGCGAGGTACGGCGTCGGCTCCGGCAGCCCCAGCGCCTTCACTGTATGCATGCGCTCCACAGTCCACACAAACAAGCGATCGATGAAGACGACGTCACATGAATTACATACATGATAACAATTAACTAATTAATCCATGGTTTTGTTTAAGTAAAACTGCATGCACGTTCAATCAGAAAACTAAGATTGCGGGGCTAGCTATATATTTGTTAACTAAAAAATTTGACAGATGTAAATGTAGTATAATCGTGATGTGAATATATTATAGTTTGCAAGTAACTATAGTATAACTTGTATATAATTTTTAAAAATCTCTAGGTGACATGCTATTTCTGTGAAAACAGAGGTAACGGTACCGAATCCTCCCACATGTGTGTGGGTTGTGATTTTTTCCTACCGTCCTTGCACGAATTTTAAAGCAAATATAACGGTTTAAAATTATATCGTAGTTAAATGGTAGTTACATGCAAATTACTGTATTTAGGTGGTGTTTGGATCGGGGACTAAATTTTAGTCTATGTCAAATCGGATGTTTGGACACTAATTAGACGTATTAAACGTAGACTAATAATAAAACTAATTGCATAAATGAGAGCTGATTCGCTAACAAATTTTTTAAGTCTAATTAATACATAATTAGCACATGTTTACTGTAGCATCACATAGGCTAATCATGGATTAATTAGGGTCAATAGATTTGTCTCGCGAATTAGTTAAGGGTTATGGAATGAGTTTTATCATTAGTCTACGTTTAATACTTATAATTAGTGTCCAAATATCAGATGTGATAGGGATTAAAATTTAGTTCATGTATCCAAACATCACCTTAGTTACACTGAGATTGTACTATATTTACATATGTTAAATTTTAAGGAAAAAATTTATGGATAAGTATATAGCAAAATCGACGAGGAAAAGCAGACAATTCACTTATTCTCCATCATAGATGATTGGGACCTTTCTTTTTTTTTTCTTTTTAAGAAAAAAATAATCGGGATCATATCGTTGATGTTTACCGAGGAAGTCGATGACGAGGCGGCCGTCGGAGGCGCGGCCGGTGGGGTGGTGGTAGAAGGTCATCCCGTACGGAGGCCGCGTGAAGGGCCCGCCGGCGGTGGCCGGGAGGATGGCCGCGTTGCCGGTGTCGGTGAGCGAGTCGCCGAAGCTGAACACGCGGGAGTAGCGCGTCCGCCGCGGCGAATGCCGGCGGCCACCGCCGCCGCCGGCCGACGACTCGACGTCGGCCGCCGCGACGACGGCGACGACGAGCACGCCGAGGAGGAGCGAGAGTAGAAGACGACGTGGAAATGGCGCCGCCGGCGCCATGGAAATCATGTATGCTCGCTCTTGCGTAGGCAATGCAATGTTGGTTAATTTGCAAATTAAGCTCCACTGATCAATCTTGTTTATAGAGACTAGAGAGAGAGAGAGAGAAATTCGAATGTGGTTAATTTGCAAATTAAGCTCCACTGATCGATATTGTATATAGAGACTAGAGAGAGAGAAAGTCGATTATTTGCAGCAGTGTGGTGATCGATCGAGTGGTGGCATTATGGGTTTGGGAAGATCAATGCCGTGAGAGAGCCGTGACAGCGAAATTTCTTGAGCCGCCGCTGCACGCGCGCTGACTTTCCATAATTTATTTGATCTACACAAATATACTACTGTACTAACATGAAGATGCTGTGGAGAATTAGAGAAAATCAGAAAAAAGTTATTTTAAAAATTCATATTAATCTAATTTTTAAGTTTTTAGCCAGATAAATTATACTGAGAGGTAAGAAAAATTTTACCATAAATTTCCATACCTCCTAACCCTGGAGGTACCAGATTTCACTGTAGAAAATATGGTGCCTCTGATACCTTCTCAAGAACCAATAAAATTACTCTTTTAGCTAATACATAATTAATTATATGAAAATGAGTTAACTCTTTTCCGTTCTGAAAGTTACTAGCAGGCAGTGCCGAACACATCTCGGCGTCCTTCCCGTTGATTAATGGGTAAATTGGAACCATGCCATTATAATTTTGCAATGTTTGAGATATGCCATCGGTATTTCAATGATATGAGGACCCATATGAGTCAATGACATGTGGGTCAGGATATCATATCTTAAATTTTATAAAATTATAATGACATGGTTCCAATTTTCACTTGATTAATTGTCTTTTCAACTGGACTACGGAGTCAGAGAGGAGTGGGGTGCATGAGTTTTGGCTGATATTGTGATATGTGTGGTGCACTAGCTTGGGATAGAGATGGACCTACTGTCCTATCATATAATAGGAATCTGGGGATCACATAAACAGTTCTTGATTTGCTTGCGTACATGACTTTCCGATTCGAATCCGTATTTCTATGCGCATATCTATATTATGTTATCAAATAAAACCAAATCAGTTCTCATAGGTGTGGCATTTATTTTATTTTAAGTAAATTTTAGAGGATGACAAGTTTAAGAGTGAATTGCACTTCGTACCATGTTTTATCGTCGAAGTTTAACTCATGATCATTCTATATCCAATCTTTTCACTTTGAATTATGTAACTTTATATTTGTTGCATAATTAATGGACCATTCTAGCTCTCTTCGCAAACCATGTCTAACGTCTCCTTGATAAAGGTATGACATGCATATAAGTATGAAAATTCGCCGGCATGTCATTAATGTTTTGCTCAAAGTCATTGAAGTGCTAAAGATGTGGTTTGAGGTAGTCTATTGTACAACAAATTAAGATAAAGTTACCTAGCCTAAAGTAAAAAAATGGACAAAGGGTGGTCCAAACTAAAACTTTTACGATAAAACATAGCCCAAAGTGATATTAACTCAACGACTACCGATGGAGGCCTCTATTAATTGTTTGCTCTATATGGAACCAACCAAAGCAAAAAAAAATTAAATTTAAAACCACCACCGGCATCGTCGCCTGATGGAGAGGAGAGGTCATCGCCGGATCCGGCCGCCGCCTCGCCCTCTACCGTCGGTCTTCTTCACCGGCGGTGGATCTGGAGGAGGAGAAGGCGGGGGAGGGGGGAGGCGGATGCAGCAGAGAATGGCCGCCCGCGCTGGTCTTCTCTATCGCTGCCGCTGGATGTAGCCTTCCGCAGGCGGCCGCCGCAGTCCTCCTTCGCCTCCGCCAAGGGAGTGGGGGCCGGAGGGGAGGGCAGCAGACATGGAGGCAACACCGCAACCACCTCCACCGACTCCGGCCACCACCTCGCAACAGAGGTGAGGAGGAGGGAGGGAAGAATGAAGGAGTGGAGTATGGCCAGATGGATAAGGACTAAGAGTGGAGTATAGGCGCTCGGTTCAGCTCGGCTCGGGTGCCCGTTCCCATAGTTTATTATAGGTGCCCTTTTTTAAAAAAAAATAAGTACAAATACTATAGGTCCCGATTTAATTTTATATAGATCCAGCACCTGTAATATAAGTATAGATCCTAGTTTTTCTAAAGTATAAGTGCCGGTTTTAAATAAACCAACACCTATAAGCCGGTACCTATTATTCTGCTAATATCAGTGGCGAATATAGAAAATCGATTCGTTGGTGTCATAACGTGTCTATCGGTGTCATAGTATATTAATTATACTTAGATCATAGTGTAATAACATATGGATAAACAGTTTTGCTATAGGTTTTGCCGAAAGTCATCAGTGTCGCCTGACACCGGCCCTTTACTGTAGCTCCGCCCCTGGCTGGCTAATATGCCGTATAATGTATTATGCGCACATATGCCCAATTGATGGGGCCGAAATTATTGTAAAATTATAGCCCTGTTATAACTCTCACCTTAATGATGCATCGAGTCCACATGTCATACAATGTTCTCACTTCTCAGTGTGGCAAAATGGCGAGTCTTACAACCACTCCACATCATTGTATATAGGAAAAAGTACGAATTACCCGCCTGAAGTATTGCGGTCGTCCGATTTACCCCCCTAAACTATAAAACCGGACATTTAACACCCTTAATTCTTCAAACTGGACAAACAACCCCCCTATCTTAATATCATCTGTTTTTGATCCTACTTGGCGTCCAACGTGGCAATGAAATTTTGTTTTAATCCTACCTGGCAGTAGGGCCCACCTGACACCCTCTATGGCCCTATCTTCTCCTTCCTCTCTTCTTCTCTACAACACACCCGCCATAACCAGAGAGAGAAAGAGAGAGAGAGGTAGTAGAGGGTGGGGGTGGGGCTAGGAGCAGGAGGGAGGGGCAACCTCGCTGCCTATCCATGCCCATCGGCGCCCTCTATGAGTTCTCCTCGCCACCGGCCGACCTCGCAGGAAGGGGACCAGCAAGTCAACGATGATGGCAGTGAGGAGAAGGATGCGGCGACTTGGCTACACCGATGGCTCTGGTGACGGCGCCCTCCCCGTCGCACCCGCCGGCCGTCGATTGCTCTCTCGCCATGCCCGGCCGTCGGCCGCCCTCTAGCCATGCCCGGGCCCGGGGTAGCCGACCAACTCCTCCACTCCGGTCAAGGACAGCTGCCCGAGTTCCGCCGGCATGGCCCCGTCTCCACCACCGCCACCCCGCCCTGCTTCGCTGTCGTCGGAGGACAGATGCCACTTCATCGCCTCGATCTACTCCGCCGACCCAGTTGTCAGGAGGCCAACACTGGCCGTCGTCCCATCGTGGGATCCCCCATCGGCTGGCCCTGGCCTCTGGCGCGTCAGCGTCGCTCCAGTGGAACATGTCTCTGCCGCCGGACTTCCCGGCTCCGGTTGGCACCTTCTCCTGCGACCACCGCCGACCGGTTCCTCCTCCCCGCCGCTCCCGTCGCGACCTGGAGAGCACTCCTAGCCGCGCCCCCTCCCTGCCGCTCCAGCCGTTGCCTGGTGCGCCCTCCCATCCGCCGACCGGTTCCCCTTCCCCGCCGCGCCTACTGCCGGCCGGAACCGTGCCCGCCGTTGCTCGCCCAGCCGGGCTCGTAGCCGCTCGCCTCCAACGATAAGAGCACACACAGAAAAAGTATTAATATGACATGTGGGCCCTACATTATTTTATTTTATTTTTTGTTGATGGGATTTCGACGTCGGCGCCACGTGTATGCCACGTAGGACTAAAACCGCTCCGGATTGAGTCGGGGGGGGGTAATTCGTCCGGTTTCAATAGTTTGAGGTTTAATATGTTTGGTTTTGTAGTTTCAGGGGTAATTCGTACTGTCGCAATAGTTTAGGGGGTAATTCATATTTTTTCCTTGTATATACTAAAGCGGACCCATGGAAATGCCATGTCATCTGCCATCGGTCCGGTTGCACCACACGACGCGGTTACTGCACCCAGGAAGAATAAATCGAGTACCATTACTAGGGAAAAATTTACCTACTTTCAACATATACCCTATTTTAGAGAAAACTATGCAGTGGAGACCATATATTTGGTGACAACTTAAAAACGATTGCATAAAAGTTGTCAAAAGATCTAAAAGAAATTCACACATACAGGTAAGATGATTCGAGAGAACCATACGAAATTGCACAACCTAATTCAACCTAGTTCGTGAGATACAAAATTAACAAATGGCTATGGAAAAACAATATTGCTGATTTGCATCTTTTTCTTTACTAGTAATTGTAATTTTTTTTATCTCACGGACGAAGTCAAGTTTGGTCATACCGGTAGTTCTCTAATATCACCTTTTTTGACATTTTTTAAAAGAACTTTTAGGATGTTGTTTGCATGGCCTCCATCAAAGTTGTGGCTTCCGACATATAGTTACCACTGTTTTGATGAATTAAAAATTAAAAATTTAATCTAAAATGAAATAAGATAATTTATCCGAATGTTATTAACATAATCATATATATATATATATATATATATATATATATATATATATATATATATATATATATATATATATATATCTATATATATAAAGATCATGGATTTGTAGATTTAGGAATACCCAGCTTAAAAAAATTTGGATCTAGAGTTGTGCCAAAAAGACCTAACATGTCTCTTCTGTACTACTTGATATGTGAAACTTGACTCCATCATCCGTTAATCCGATCACAAGATGTGCCTCGCTTCACGTACGTGAGCCTCTTTGACCGTTTGCAGCCTAAACTTGTGTTGCATCCTAGGCCCATGACTATCATATCTTCTATCGTCACGCCACTCAGATCATTCCTCTCTTGATCGATTTCTCGCAAAATTGAGCACACCGCCGAGCCCTAGCCTCCATGATGATAACCGTTGATACTTCCCCACTGCTTGCACTACTAAAATCTTCTATTACCAGTGAGGTTTTATGTTATGTAATTATTTAGATGGGTAATGTAAATGAACCATAATAACCATGTAAACATATTCCTAATAGATTGATACCAAAGAGTTTCCCTCTGCTTCTTCTCCATGAATATAGCAACGCACCACCGACACCGAGCTCTTGTGTGCCTCACTGTCTCCATGGCCGACGCCATCATCAGCACATCCAACACATTTCCTTTCAATGGCTAAAAAAGGGAATCCCCATGCCTGAGAATGTGCTTTGTTCTCATCCGTTTCCATACCGTAGTCATCAATCTCATGTTTGATGACATTGTGGTTCTACATCCGGGATCCACGTTCCAACCAAAGCAAATGTCCTTTTTGGATACTAACAATACCATCATATTCGTAACTCTCGGTTCCCTAAAAAATATATATATTCATGACTCTCGGAAATGTGTTTCACTACTCAAGGTGTTCTCGTCTATATCCCACCACAACCCACACCATATCTCTTCATCTCCTCTCTCTCTCTCTCTCTCTCTCTCTCAGCTCCCTCTCTTCCTCTCTCTCCCCGTATTCGTACTCCATGATAAGAATAAGATAAGTAACATCTGGTATGGTACAATCGTGGTTGAGTCAAACCTACTCAATTAAGCCAAGGTCACACCGGATTATTGAACCTAACCTTGTATAAGAACGTAACCCATGCGCGAGCCTAAGCAGAATCAACTTGTTTGAGTGGTTCAGCAGGTCCGTTAGGACCAATTCCATTAGAGTTTACATTGGTTTACCATTTTCTTTTGTTCATAAAAATTGATGGGTCATCTGCTTTCTTTCATTCCTGTTATTTTACCATTTATTTATTTTCTTACTTGATGTTGTTGTCCTGCACTAGGTTGTGATTAAGGCCCCTTCGGACCCATAGAGCTAATTTTGGATTTCATTATAAAAATTAAACCGTGATCAAATCATATAGCACTCTAATTTATATCACCACCTTTTGTTTTTTCAATTGCTATATTGGTAAACTTGGAACCAGGCTTCCCATCACTGGCTGCTTGGGGAACCCAATGAACAACATCGGATCAGGCAGCCCACACAACTATCAACTAGCCCATGCAATGGTCGATATGCACTTGAGGAGAAACACAACAAGAACCTAGGACCGCCCCTGGTAGGGGTGACCTCGTGTTCATCCCTATGGCCGCTAGCTGGAACCCGAGCTTGGGACCTCGCCTCTCGGGGCATGGTTGCTGCTTGCCCTCGAGATTGGCCCTTGCAAGGCTGAGCTTGGGGTAGCGCCAGCGCATTAACCGTGATAGGACGCGGGGTGCTATAGCTATCATCAACAAAGTAAGCCTTGCATAAAATGCTAGGCGATGCTTACCAACTTAGGGTGCAACCGAGGCGACATGTGATGGGATGGTGCCTGTACAACAGTCACGTGCACCATCATCACCCCTGCGGGGAAAGAGTGTGGGCTATTAGGCAGCATGGTTATTTGCCGATGCCACTCTATCGGGCACAACCTTTTCACACTTTCTTCTACCTGAGACTAATTAACAGAAGGTTCCTGCTGGCGTCAACAATGCTCTAGGCTTCTACTCCAAACCTTGCATGCACACTCAGAACGCGCAGCCAGGTGGCAAGGCCTATACCCTAGTTGGGCACAACAGCCAGGCCCATTTGTCAATAAGTAACATGACCTTCAATAGCTAACCCCTATACTAGGGTCCACTAGTGATGGACCAACCACTATGCTGTTCTTGCGTGGACTATAAGGAGAGAGCTAGGGCTGCTTAGAGAGGACAAACACACATAAAAAAAAGGATATTACGCTCCACGTAGTTTTAGCTAGCAATAGCTAGCAAAGTTTCACCCCTTGTAATTAAGAGTTGGAATAAGAGATCCAAAGAAGAATGAAACTAGAGTAGGGTATTACATTTTCACCACTCTGCTTCCCACTGTCTCACATGTCTCGGACTTAGCAACTGCACACATGTTCCCTAACTGAATCTAAAATGGAGTTCCACTAGTTTTCGTTATTAGAGCTTGGGCTCCGACAGCAACGCATAGGAAATGGTACTCCCTCTGTCCAAAAATAGCTGCAGGGATGAAGGAAGTAATTCTATACCTAATAAAAAATACATAAGGATTTTGTATTTCTTTTCTTTGTACATCGTCCGTACGTCGCTCGATAGGCACATGCCTTCAGTCTCCGCCGCCGCCACCATATCGATCTGTCTCCGCATGTGTTTTCTCTTCTAATTGATTGCAAAAATTGATTTCCCACTCCTCCGTCATCATTTTCCCCTTTTAATTTGACTTTAATTCACCGGATTTAATCTCTAGCCGCCGCCCAGGCCGAACCCTAGCGCCGCCGCCACATCGATCTACCTACGCATGCGTTTCCTCCTCCAATTGATTGCAAAAATTGATTTCCTTATCCTCCCTCGTCATTTTCCCCATGATTTCTCCTTTAAATTCGGCTTTAATTCGCCAAATTTAATGTCTGTTGAACGGTCACCAATGATGGCCGGTCGACGAGCTTCTCCTGGCCCTTTTTATCTGAGTTTTGTGGATTCGCTCCGATTTTGGGGAAACCAGAAAGAGGAGATCGAGTGGATCAAAAGTCCTCAATCAATTTTAGGTGATTGAGAAAGACTTGCCGGATTTGATGAGGGAGAACTGGCTCCAGCATCGTGCAGGCACATGGGATTATCTTCCAGAGGTTGAAGACGCTACAGAAGCGCGTGGGCAGCCGACTGTGCTAGCTGGGCCCACGGCTCCACTTGTGGGCTAGGCCGAAGAAAAGAGAGGTAGGTCGAGTGGAGAAAGGTAGGAGAGAACTGACAGTGTTAGAGCTGAAAAGGAAAAAAAAATAATGAGCTTTTGCTCAAAGCTAAGAAAAGATTTTGATTAACTTTTTTTAATTATACTGTACAGCAATACTAATGTTTCAAGTTATTTCCCAACTCCCAATAACACACGGACATTTTTTTTTCTGAGTATAATACAAAAAATTACTTGAAAAAAGAAATAAAAATCAATACCAAAAAGTTAGGAAAGATACCAAATATCTCATACTCCCGGGCATCCCTACGTAAATTGTGCCAAACAAGGCAGAGGAAAGCGTCGTGCGGCTGGAGGATACTTCCCTTTCCCCTCGGCCGCCTGCGCCGATCCCCATCCCTCCCGCGGCCGCGAGCGACCAGGGGAGGGCCGCAGCCGCCGCCCCCGGCGCCGTTCGTCCCGCTTCTTCCGCCGCATCGCATACTGGTGAGAGCATCCACCCATCCTCTCTCTCATCCTCTCGAATTTCACGGGCGTAAACCCTAGCTTCAGTTCTAGATCTAGAAGCTATGTTCTCTCAATTTACCTTAAACCTTGATACTAATAGCAGTTCGTTCGTTCACCCAGAAAAAAAAATTGTGCCATGTTATAGAGACTGCTAAAAACATCACATGGAATCGCTGTGGAAGCTGAGCTACTTGCTCGAGCCAGCGTCGCTTGCCCTCATCTTGACCGCCGTCTCCGTCGCCTACGCGTCGGCGTCGCGCGCGCTGGACCATGGCAGGGAGATGGAGAGGAACCTCGACTTCTCCGAGGCCTCCATCACGCTCGACCGGTCGCAGGCGCTCATGATCCCGCTCGCGAGCTCCTGCAGCCTGCTGCTGATGTTCTACCTGTTCTCGTCGGTGTCGCACCTGGTCACCGCCTTCACCGCCGTGGCGTCGGCGATGGCGCTCTTCTTCTGCCTGTCGCCGTACGTAAACTGCGTCAGGTCGCGCCTCGGCGTTGGGGACCCGTTCGTGTCGAGGTGCTGCTCGAAGCCGTTTACCCGGTTGCAGGGGTTGCTGGTTGCGATCTGCGTCGGCACGGTGGTTGCCTGGTTGGTATCGGGGCACTGGTTGTTGAATAACCTGCTGGGGATATCCATATGCATAGCGTTCGTCAGCCATGTGAGGCTTCCCAACATAAAGATCTGCGCGTTGCTGCTCGTCTGCCTGTTTGTGTACGACGTTTTCTGGGTATTCTTCTCGGAGAGGTTTTTCGGAGCAAATGTTATGGTGTCCGTTGCCACTCAGAAGGCATCTAACCCGGTTCACACGGTAGCGAACAAGCTCAGTCTGCCTGGATTGCAGCTGATTACAAAGAAGCTAGAACTTCCAGTCAAGCTTGTCTTCCCCAGGAGTTTGATGGGTGGGCTTGCTCCAGGAAGCAGTCCTGGGGACTATATGATGCTCGGCCTTGGAGACATGGTAAGTTAATTTATATTTCAGTTTTTATTTATGTACTGCATTGGTAAGAATGAGATCGAGGTCACTCAATGTTTAAGACAAAAAGATCCTTGTAATAATTTTTTCACTGTAATTTGAGATTACTCTTTTTTTTATTTGACAGCAAGCTATGTCTGCCATTTCAGCTACTTCTGTTAGCATATATGCACCGTTCACATCCTATAACTACCAGGAAAACCTGCTCTGCAACAAAATGTTTGTTTACTCTGTTAAAAACCAGGCAGATCAACTTTTTTGAATTCTTCAGATGTTGCACGATTAGGTAAACAATGATTGTTCAAACAGATTGAAGTCTTGAAATGTCTGGAAACTCTTCACTGTGGCACTAAAAACTAATGTATGTCACTGCATTGTTGTTGGTTTGCTTTATCACACACTGTTTTGTAGACATAATATTCACTGATATTATTGATCTATTTGCATATCAACCTTGGTATTTGACATGAAGTAGTTGCATGACTTGAATTATACAACGACATGACTTTCAAGGAACAATGCACAATACTGTGTATGAATTACTGCATCGCTCATCTGACTTTGCTCATGCTTTTACTGTGTCAACAGTCAACTGTAATCAGTTCTTCACTTGTGTGTGTAGGCCATTCCAGGGATGCTTCTAGCTCTTGTACTCTCATTTGATCACCGGAAGATCAAAGACATGAGTGTTTCACAAGACATGCCTCCCTCGAAACAGCGGAAATATGTATGGTATGCGCTGACAGGTTATGGTGTTGGCTTGGTAACGGCTTTGGCTGCTGGGATCTTATCCCAGTCTCCCCAGCCTGCTTTACTGTACCTGGTAGGTGTTCTCTTGTGATAGAATCAACTTTTCAAACATCATTTCTGTATGATCCTTGTACTACTGAGTTATATTTTCTTGACTTTGCACATTGGTGTGGTTTGATCAGCTTTTATAAAGCTATGACGCCACGCTTATGGTGTTGACTATATGTGTTTCTGACAAGAGTTTGTGACTTCAGGTACCATCAACGCTTGGGCCTGTTATGTATATGTCATGGTTGAGGAACGAGCTATGGGAGCTATGGGAAGGATCCAGGCCAATTATAAACGACAAAGCTCATTTGTTGGAGGTTTAAAATTCAACAGGACGTGAAAAAAGGTCTCGACGTCCTTGATGTAATCTGATTACAATTTATTTCAGCCATAGTCTAAAGGAGAATATTTATAAGGTAGAATGCAGTGATGTAAGGTTATACCCTATTGTTCTCGCAAGAGGGAACAAGATGTATCACTTATTAGCAATAATATAAAGGTGTCTTTCATCTCATGGCTTCGATGTTTCAGTTCAGTCATGGTCAATTACTTGAATGCTGAGGCACTGCAATAGCTCATGCCACCAGTAATTGACTTAGTGTTCATGTGCTAGACCCTGCAACTGATTTATTTTTTACATATCTGAGTTATTTTACAGAGCTTATTTTACAAATGCATCCTTGGGAAATCTTATTCTAGTAATGAACCCTTTGGATTAGTCTTCTTCTGAAGACTACAATAAACTGACGAAGCTCAATTGGTTTGATTTGTATAGCTACATCAAGAGTTCAGAAGGGCTTCTTATGATTTCATTTTGTTAACTGAAAAGAATAGTTAAATTTTCTTAAGGAAAGAGTGTAATAAAGATCAATCTGCTTTAAGTATCCTGCCTTCAGCGTTACTCCCTCGTCTATAAAAAATTAACCTAATACTATATGTGACTAATCTGAACATACCTCTCTTCAAATTCGTTATTCTAAAATATGTTATATTCAGTTTCAGGTTTATTTTTTTAGGATGGAGAGGAACATATTTGTATGCTGATGCTAATTTGTCTGTCCATTCACCATCACAGTATACTCTGAACAAATTGATCGTACCGATACATCACCGTTCTTTTCACCTTGCATTGTCATCCATGCTTTGTTCTCTTATATTAAAAAAAATAAAAATTCTAGTGGTTTCCACATGTTACATTCCAATATTTCACGTGGTAACCCAAAGGAATAAGTTCACCGGAGGTCCCTCAACTTAACAGCGAGATTTTTTGAGGTCCCTTAACCACAAAATCAGAAATGTCTACCCCTAAACTTACTCAAACCGTTCACCGGAGGTCCCTCGGCAGTATTTTTGTCCCGTTTTGCTGACGTGGCATCCTAGTCAGCAAAAAAAATTAAAAAGGTACATGGGGCCCACATGTCAGCTGCACATATTTTTTTCTTTTCTTTTCTTCTCCTTCTCCTTCTCTTTTCTCTTCTCTCCTCTCTCTTCTCCTTCAAGCTGGCGGCGAGCGCAGCCGCAATGGCCAAGCGCGGCAGCAGAGCAGTGGCGGGCTGTGGGCGGAGCGGACGGCGGGCGAGCCCGGCGGCGGAGCGGAGGCAGCGGAGCGCAGTGGTGGAGCGGAGGCTACGGGCGGCGCAGCCGCACGCCGTGGCCGCCGTCGTCGTCGGCTCTCCACCGTCGTCGTCGTCGTGGGCGAGGCTGCACGGCGCGGCCGTTCGGCGGCATCGGCCAGGCGTCGCAGTGGCCATGCATAGGTGGCTCGAAGTGCCGGCTGACGATGCACCCTAGTCGCTCACGCTCCTCCTGTGCCGCGGCAGCGGCAGTGGTGGTGGCGGCAGCGTCGCCGACCTGATCGCATGGTCCTCCCGGACGCCCAGCTCGCGCAGCTGCAGCAGGAGCGTGTCCACGCTCGGCGTGCCATCGGCGTCGTGGACGGTGGTCGGCACGGGCGCGGTGACCCTCGTCGTCTTCGCCGACATCGTGGTAGCACTTGACGTCGTAGCTCATACTCATATACGTCGGGTACAGATGGCCGCATGTACATGTGTCTTCGTACAAGCATATATATGCATGCATGGAGACGACCAGCTATAGCCTAGCTAGCTTCTTGTTGGTTTGCCGCCAGATAACATGCAGACGTATATATTAGCCAAGCATGTGTATATGGCTGAGCACACTCACATGTATATATGCCATTATGTGCAGCGGAGGAGCGCGGATGCAGGGGGTGCAGCGGAAGGCGAGCGCGGCGGAGGAGCGGCGACGGGCGAGCGCAGCGGTGGGCAAAGCAGCGGAGGGCAAGCTAGGCGAAGCGGAAGACAGTGGATGGGACGAGGAGCTCCCCCGTGCTCGGCCGCCACCACCGCCGTGCCCCCGGGGGTGGCCGACGATGCTAGGAGAGGCACCACCGGCAGGAGAAGGGGAAGAGGCAGAGGAAGCGATTGTTTCTTGGTCGCCGGCCGCCTCCCCCTCCCTCCCAAACTCGCTGGCCGCCGCGCTCGCGCTCCGCTCCTCTCTCCGCGGCCTGCTCGCGCTCCACTGCTCGGCCCGCCGCCGCGCTCGCGCCTTCCGCTGCTCTGTTGCCGCGCTCGCCCTCCGCTGCGCCGCCCGCATCCGTGCTCGCCGCTCCGCCCGCTGCCTCCGCTCCGCCGCCAGACGGCCGCACCGCATAGCCTCGCCCACGGCGACGACGACGGTGGAGAGCCGACGACGACGGTGGAGAGCCGGCGACGACGGCGGCCACGGCGCGCGGCTGCTCTGCCCGCAACCTGAAGGAGAAGAGAATAGAGAGAAAAGAAAAGAGAAGAGGAGAGAAGGAGAAGAAAAGAGGAGAAAAAAGATGTGAAGCTGACATGTGGGCCTCACGTGTTTTTTTAATTTTTTTTTGCTGACTAGGATGCCACGTCAGCAAAATCGGACAAAAATACTGCTGAGGACCTCTGGTGAACGGTTTGAGTGAGTTTAGGGGTACACATTTCTGGTTTTGTGGTTAAGGGACCTAAAAAATCTCGCTGTTAAGTTGAGGGACCTCAGGTGAACTTATTCCTAACCCAAATCAGCACAGCCCATGAATAAGACGAACAAACTCCCACGTGTCCAAAAGAGGGTGACAACAAGCCCAAGTTAGCCCAGTCCTGATACAAGTTGGGCCGCACCAAATTCAAATTCTTGGAAGAGTTTCAAGTAAAAAAAGAGGGATTTTCAAGACGGTTTGAAAGTTTAGAAAAGTATATTTTTCCGTTTAATATTATAAGACGCTTTGTTTTCTCTTTTAAAATCAAACTTCTTTAAGTTTAGCTAAATTTATAGAAAAACATAACAATATTTTCAACACAAAACAAACGTACCATCAAAATATTTAATGAAATTAATTTGGTAGATGTTGCTATGTTTTTATAAATTTGATCAAATTTAAATTTTTGTTTTAGCAGCTTATAATTAATATGAAACTTTATTTAAATCAAACTTCTTTAAGTTCAGCTAAATTTACAGAAAAAAAGTAACAATATTTTCAATATAAAACAAACATACTATCAAAATATTTAATGAAATTAATTTGGTATTGTAGATGTTGCTATGTTTCTATAAACTTGATCGAATTTAAAAATTTTGAGTTAGAAAGTTAAAGTGACTCATAATATGAAACGAATTAGAGAGAGATGTTCAAAATCATCGTTTCATCAACTTCTGTCCGAAAATATCAAGCAAGATTCCAAACCGGCCGGCATTGCAAGATTCAAGAAACTGTGCTCACCATGCATGCTCCATATGGGACCATATTGCAATCCCATTTGCCTTGGCGAGTTTATTTTAGGCGCCATGCATATGGCGTGTGTATTAATTTTGTCGATTAAGTGACTAGTGAGGGTGGTTGGATGGAGAGTAGTAATGTACGAAAACTATTTCAACTACTAGTGACAGACACTATTGATGACATATGGAGTTATAGTACAGAACTAATTACTATAATTATAGTCATTTACACCGAGTTACAAACTAATTATAATTACAATATGTAGAACTGTAAAAACTTACATGCAAAATCTGTATATATATATATATATATATTATGAAATCATGGAAGATCGATCCGTACTACTACGGATGTTTGTATGCCATATGGAGTTAGTACAAAACTAATAATAATTATAGCCATTTACACCGAGTTACAAACTAATTTAATTATCCACTCAATACAATATGTACAGAACTGTAAAAACTTACATGCAAAATCTGTATATATCTTATACAACCAATTTTATACTATTAGATAATAACAGCATTTACTCCCTCCTTTGCTTTAAAGAAACTAAAGCTAATTCTCTCTATGTCCCTAAATATTTGACGTTGTTGGTTTTTTTAAATATGTTTGACCGTTTGTATTATTCAAAAAATTTAAGTAATTATTAATTGGTTTCCTTTCATTTGATTTATTGTTAAATATACTTTTATGCATACATATAGTTTTACATATTTTACAAAATTTTTTAAATAAGATGAACGGTCAAACATGTTTAAAAAAGTCAACGACGTCAAATATTTAGGGACAGAGAGAGTACTATACAATTTGTTGTTCAATGACTATGAATTACAAATGGTAACTTGATGGATAATAAGAAATTTAAGTGGAATACAGGCCTAAAGACAGTTATAACATTATCGTACCACACATGCCCATAAATCTTGTATGATAATTTGTACGCAGTGTCTATATATATAGAGAGAGAGTTTCGTGAATATTTACTCTCTTTATTATCAAAGCATGGAAAATCTGTGCTACACATGTTTGTATGCCATACAAATAGTTCATTATGTAGCGAGCTCCCGGCTGGTTTCTTGTCCTGTATGTTCGCGTGAACTTGATAACGGCATAGACAAGGACGGATTGGGTTTGGGCATCGGTATTAGGGCTCTCCTTAGCATGGAACGAGCCACGAACTTGTTCACCGCTTCCGTGTAATGGATCCCGTCCCAGGAGACGTACTTGGATGGATCGGCGCACAGCGTCGACGCCCGCAAGGTGCAGAACGCCGCGAAGTCGAAGTTGTAGGGGTTGCCGCCGCCGCCACAGCACGCCGCCAACGGCGTGTCGCCGAAACCTGCATGCATATAAGCCACCGTACCACATGATTATATGTCAATAGTATAGAGATATCCAAATAGATTACGTCTTATATGTATCGGTTCTTAATTATAAACTCGACCCATAAGATATTTTTGGCCCACCCAACCTTTCACTACACCATGACACAAAATCTCTAACAGATGATCTCGGTTGGTAAAGACCACATTTAGAGGCATGCGGTTGATCGACAAAAAAAATTGTTGACCAACTTGAACGGTCCAAAGAAGTCTGGTCGGTAAAGAGATTTCCTGACTAACATATTTAGAGCCGGCGGCACGTATAAAACATCATATATGCCCGTTCTATAACACCTCATGTGTGCATGAGTCAACAGCGTGACAGCGTGCATCTATGCAGGGACGGATCTAGTGTTGGGTACTAGGAGAATTCACGAGTTCCCCCTACCCCGTTGGATCCCATTGATAAAAGGAGAGAAGGAAGGAAGAAGAGAAGGGAGAAGAGGAATAAAAGGGGGTTGAAATCCGCCCCTACATCCATTGACCGTACCGTATTTGGCCGGAGAGGCGATGATGGCGGTGACGGGGCGGTAGAAGTCGGCGTAGTGGACGGCGGCGGCGGGGAACGCGCGCCGGAGCTGCCGGAGCATCCGGGTCAGCTCGCGGTTGTGCACCTCGGCGAGCTTGTTGAACCGCGCATTGCAGCCGGTGTCCGGGTCGTAGTCGGCGGCGGAGCCCGCGGGGAACAGGGCGAGCAGCTGCGGCTCGCAGCCCAGCGGTATCATCCCGGTGATCACCACCGTTCTTGCTCCGGCGACGATGGCGTCCTACGAGCGATTAGATATATAGTCAACTGACGATTTCCGGCGATCTTAGGATGCAAGTTAGGGAGAAGAGTGTGTTTCAATCTTACGATCACGGCTGATCGAATGACGCCGACGATGTCTGGGACCAAGGTCGCCGCCGCCTGTTCGACGGTGTGGTTGCTAGCCAAGGCGAGGAAGTAGTCGTTGACTCCGATCTCTCCGAAGAAGAAGAGCGACGTCTCGGCGATCCTGCGCCTCGCTGTAGGGTGCATATGCATCACAATTATTTTTGAGAGGAATATGCATCACAATTATTGACAAGATCGATCAGGCAGTTACAAAAGAATGGATTACAAAGGATTCAGAAATATTTTAGCTGTCTAGGGGTTTAGTTTATTTGTGATTTACCCTCTAAATTGTTAATTTTTACAGAGCATATTCATTTCGGTTGCGAAACAAGGTAGGCTATACTTATCCGCGAAAATGGTTTTTCGCAAACGGTTATGGCGCCCGCACTTGAAATGCCGATTTTTGCATACCTAACTCCAAGCGGGTGCTCCACCCAAATGCAAAAACTAGTTTTGGCCTCGTGTGAAGATCATTTTTATAGTAGCACGTTGTTGTTGTGTGCTAAATACATTTTTTTTCTAAAGTAAAGGTAAATTTTGTAAAACTAATATATTTTTAAATTTTTGGTCAATCCCAAAACTTTTGTTTGGTAATGATTTTACAAATCTTTCCCAAATTAAATGAGGCAATGTGCCGTTTTAGAATAAGTATTCCCTCCATCTAATTTTGATAGTTATATTTCATTTTGGCACAATGACCAAGGATAAGTAATTCTACTTATCATCCATTTAAATATGCTATTAGTTATTCCTCGTAAACAAACAATTCATTAATATTTACGTTTTTCGATGCCCATGTAACCAATCTTGTGTGGAAGAATGGAGAGTCACGCATTAAATCCGAGAAAATCATTAAGAGGATATGCGGTTGGATTAAAATATGTCTATTAAAGTATTTTTTTTCAGATTTAGAAATATGCCTATCAAAAATAGATGGAGGGAGTATTATTTTAACAGATGCGAATCTATAGTGTAAGGACTGATGTCAAACAACACCAACAACTTTTGGCAAAATCTATAGCGAAACTGTTTATTTATATATTATAACACCATAATTTAAGTATAGTTAGCATACTATGACACTCATAAACACGTTATGACAGTAACAAATTGATTTTTTGATTCATGTATGGTTTTACCGTTCGTTAAAATAGGTGTGTCATAATGAGTCATGCCTCTTTGTTACGGTACCGTGGTAAAGTTGTGGGGTACGTACGGCCGTACGGTACACTATTACATCCATCAATTCAAATCTTCACTCTTTGATATGTACTTGCTTGCTTTTCTGCTCGTTGACTTGTAAGCCGTAGACAAATTTGATTTTTACTACTACATACCTTAAGAGTTGATTTGGGTTTTCTTTAATTAATTGGTTTAAAATTTTCGACCGGCATACCTTTTGGTCGGTTAATATAGGAGCATAAAATTTTTACCTTAAATTTGTTTAGCTAGGTCACCTATAACAGCAAGAAGAAAAGTCACTGCCAAGCAAACACATCATCTTTTTTTTTTAAAAAAAAGAACAGCTTCTTCTTCCGTCGCTCTTACCGTTGATGGAGGAAGCAAGAAGCTGCAAGGCATCCTGGAACCAGCGCGTCTCGTTGCTGAGAGACACCGGCACCGCCGACACGATGCCCATTCTCGCGAGCACCGCCGGCTCGAGCGCCGTCGCGCCGCCCACCGCGAAGTTCGTCCCGGCCAGCAAATCCGCCGCCGTCTTGCCGGCGAGGTACGGCGTCGGCTGCGGCGCCCTCAGCGCCTTCACTGAAAAACAACCAGCGACGCCATGGATCACACATAACATACTCCCTCTCTCCTAAACTACTATATTTTTTTACATGTTCTAAGTGACATGTTTCGACCATTAATTTATTACGTGTTATGTTCTTAACAAATATAAAATTAGCATTATATGAATGTACTTTAAAATATAAAACTAGCGATATATCATAAATAATACTTAGTATAGATATGATTAGTATAATTATTACTTGAAGGTTATCTAGTTCGATTTTCTTTATAAAGAGTACATATTTAGGACGAAGGGGGTATATAGCTAGATTTAGATTACATCCTGTGATTTAGGACGAAGGGGTATATAGCTAGATTTAGATTATATGTATGCTTTGCTAGCTAGCTGGTTTGATTTCTTTGATGAAACGATACCGATGAAGTCGATGAGGAGGCGGCCGTCGGAGGAGCGGCCGGTGGGGCGGTGGAAGAAGGTCATCCCGTACGGCGGGCTGGTGGACGGCCCGCCGGCGGTGGCCGGGAGGAGGGGGTTGTTGCCGGTGTCGGTGAGCGAGTTGCCGAAGCAGAACACGCGCGCGTACCGCGCTTCAACGTTAACGGCGGCGCCACCGCCGCCGGACGCCGGCGACGGCATGGCGTCGCCGGCGGCGTGCTCTCCGGCGACGAGGACGCGGAGGAGCGCGACGAGGAGGCGTTGGAGCAGCGCCATGGCCGGAGATATTGCCCCGTATACGTGTGCAAAGCTCCGGTGCGCGCGTTGGTACGTATTTGTAGAGCTTTGAGCGGGGCCAGGAGGATGATACTACATCAGTCTGATCAGTCTACTATCGCACTCACAAAAGATATCATCCGATTTGCATTAATCACGTGCAAGGTTAATTTAGAAGGGCAGGTGCATGATGCATCGCGACTGTTGCAGGGATGGCGAGTTTCCAGTGAATAGTCTACTCTGTTCTAACATAGCGACGTGTAAAGCTTTTACGTGTTTTTTAAAAAATTATGGATACACTACGTCAGGTTAGAGCTTTTGTAAGGGTGTGTTTGGTTCCCGGTCAAGCTTGGATGGGATATGGTGGTCTTTTTTTTTTTGATTGTGTGAATATGGCGATCTATTTTTTTGAAGTTGTCGGGACAAAGGTGGATTTGGCGGTCCAACTTTTTATTTGATTGGAGGAAGTATGGTGGATTTGTAGGTGTGGTCACCTCTCACTTGAGATGGTGAATATACCTCCATCAAATTAATACATAATACAATTTTACACCACTACCTCCATTATAAATACACATAGAAAAAAGAAAAAAAGAAAAAAAAGAAAAAAAAAACAGGGCCAGATCTGGGCTCGCCACCGCCGCCGGCCGCCTCCTCCCACCGCCGCTTCCTCCCGCCGGCTGCCTTTCTCTCTCGTCACCCACGCCGGCTGCCGAGCTCGCCCCCTCTCTCGCCGGCCGCCCTATCTGCCGCCTCACTCGCATCGTTGTGGTGAGGGGTGATGCGAGTCACGCGACTCGCTCGCCCGGCTCGCCCGAGCCTCGGGCGGTTGCATCCGGCCAAATCGGCTGGATCCCTCTATCCAGCATCTGGGGTGGGACATTCTCCTTTGGGCCGCCCTATCCCAGTTTTGCCCAGCAAGCAAACACCCTCCAAAAAGCGGCGGCCATGTCCTATCCAGGTATATCCCACCAACCAAACACACCCTAACACAGCTATGTGCTACACCAAAAAACGTGTTACTAAGTGTGGAGATTATGAGTACTACATACCCACACGGCTGGGCTATCCGATTGGTTACAGGGGATAAATCATGTATATAGAATATGTATAAGACTAGGATCTATGTATTACATTTACTTGTGTATTAAGGAATGGCATGTAGTTCTAATCTATTAAGATTGTAGATTAGATATATGAAACTTAAATCGTATGGGGATAAGTTTCTATCTTGTAAACCCTGCCCCAACCTATATAAGGTGGGCAGGGAGCCCCCTCTAAGGGGCATGAGCATATAGAATTACAACTCAGATCGTTAGATCAATACACAACCCGGCGGATTCAAATCCTCAAACAAGATTAGGGTATTGTCTCTCATTGAGAGGGTCTGAACTGTCTAAAATTTATTGTCTCCGCATCCATCCACTTTTAAATCTCGTGCGCTACCCCGTTTATATTATCGAAATTCTAGTTTTGACAGTTGGCGCGTTAGGTAGGGTTGCGTCGAATTACCCGCCAAGAAGTGCGATGGAATCAATTTGTGAAGATGCCCTGAGATCGATCTCAATGAGTTGGACAGTTTCAATCTTCTACTCGGGTTTTTCGTTCCAATCTAATATGTTACTGACGGATTGTAGAGGATCTACGATCACGATTAATTCCCTGTTGTTTTCTTGTTTTGATCTACTGTGCTTTGCATGTATCGTAGTTTGACTGGTTTGCCGGATACCGTCGCCCGTCATCCAGAAAACATCTATATACAGAATATTTATTTCTCACATGCGCGCAGAGCAGCAGCTAGTCCTGCCGGTCGATCGCCAGAACCGACGCCCGGCGAAGCTGCAGCCTAGACTATCCAATCTTCGCCATTCATGCTGCACAACCGACGCATGCATGCCAGGAAACATGAGCATGACGTGGTTAATCCAATCGGCAGGCCTGAATTAACTAACAATCATGCCATGCGTCTTTTGCCCATCAGAATATTTATTTCTCTGTTTATTACTAACAAATTGGTCGAGCTTTATTATTCTTTACTTTGCATGCTGACACCAAATATTAGTGCCGTATGCATATGCATGTCAAGCACAAACCAACGTGCATGCAGAAGCATCATCTGTATATGAATGTCTATACGCCTTGTTGCAACTAATCACATTATTTTATGTGTTCACATGCATGTAACGCCGGAACTACCACGTGACGAGTTGGCATGTCGCCGTCCAGGAGATGTCATCATTTTTGTGCTACTGCCGATGACGACCTCGTCTTCACCGTCGGCCTTCTTCATCGCTGTCAACTGGTCCTCACTTCTACGGTTGGCCTATTATATTACTGTTGTTGGACGTGTACGTCTTCACCACCGGTTTGCTTTCATCTGCAAATGACTGGTGTCTTTGCCATAGTTGTTGGCCGCCTTATCTGACGCCGATTGGTTTCTTCGTCTCCACAGTTGGTGTACTCTGCCACCGTTGCTGATGGCGACATCGTCTTCACCACCGGCCGCCTCCGCCGCTGCCAACTAGTGTTTTCGCCTATACAGTTGGTGACTCCGCCGCCGTTGATGGACATATTCCCTTTCACCGTCGACCGCCGTCGTCGCCATCGGCTGGTATTTTTGTCTATACGGTTGGGGTCTACGCCGCCACCGCTGATGGGCCTTGTCATCTTCACTACTGGCTTGCTTCCGTCGCCGCCGATTGATATCTTTGTTGCTATTGATGAATGATTTTGTTCCCACATCGGCCACCTCTGCTATCACCAAGGGAAATACAAAAAAGTTAAGTCATCATTAATTTTCTTCCTTATATGATATTTTTCTTTTCCACTGCCTCACTACATCAATCGGTTCTCCATTGAGTAGTGAGTCGGGGGCTACAAATGTTATATCATATTTTTTAAACAATTTTCATAATATTTATCTATATTGCTTGTGAAATAATTCGAGTACAAAAGCGTTGATCGAGTTATGGAGCTTATTTCCCTATGCTTGCCGTTGGTTTGTCGATGGATAGTTGCCTTTGGGCCAATTCTTAGCACCGGGGCTCGCTGGATGGAGTTAATGACCCAAGGTGCTAAGTATTACTCGGAAGAAATTAAAAGCATAGATATAAGTAATTTATTTTCTACTCTTAACAATTGTAAAAGTACCCGAGTAGTAAATTCTGATCCGTGAAACTTTGTTTTATTAATGACAAACTCATGTCACTCATATGCATGTTTGGAAAGTGCATTGACCGACTCCTGGTGTTTGTGTGCTTTTACTACTCGAGCAGAGTGTTTAAACGTAAGGAGTCATCTGCTCGGGGAAACTGAAATCGAGAAGAGTAGAAATACATATTTATAAACATTTTAAAATACTTGAATTTTTTTCAAGTACTGTATTTACGTTAGATACTACTCATCCTACATGTTTGTTCTACAGGATCCAAATCCAGATATACATAGTAGGGATTCATGGCTATAAGCTTATCTCCTACGATTCGGGAATGGATAAGTCAGAACATCGCCACCGGCTTGCCTTCGCCGCCGCCGACTGGTGTCTCCTCGCCTTCATGGTTGGTTGGTCACACCACCGTTGTTGGGTGTCTACGTCTTCACCGCCGGCTAACTTCGTCTGCCACCGACTGGTGTCCTCGTCTACACGGTTGGTTGGTCACACCACCATTGATGGGCGTCCACGTCTTCACCACCGGCCGCCTTGTCTGCCGCCGACTGGTTTCATCACCACTACGACCTTCTCGTCTGTCGCTGACTGGTATCTTCGCGCATCGGTTTGCCTCTGTGCCGCCAACTCGTGTTAACGTCATCATGGCTATGCAACTCTGTCACCATTGTGAGGTGACTTCATCTTCATTGTCTTCGGCACCAGCAAACTCTATTGCCTATATTTCACCAACCACGACATCTCGGCATGTGCCACCATATTCGACGCCGCACTAAACTACTACAAGTGGTGCTCCAATATTCAAGATTTTTACTCGGACATCTTCAACACATATCTTCACTCAAGCAATGACTACTCGACGACAAGAAGCTACAGTTCTCAACTCTATGTTCAGTTGTTTCCCAACTAACGAAAGAGTCGGGGGCTACACAAATACAAGGCTAAAAAATCGACAAGCTTCATGTCAAGATGAAACAATCATTTAATTAGCCAACGAGTCAACTCCGGGAGTCATTATCTTCGTTCTTCGCTTCAGAACAAGCATTTTACTTCAACAACTCCAATTATTTCACTGGCAATTTTGGCTTCCAGATGCTGCCATAATCTACTTCAAATTTCTCAAATATCATATTCAAGATTTAATCTACATGTCCTGGTCAGACTCAGCTTTGCACCTGGATATGGCTTTGTGCTTCCCAAGTTCGGGCGTAAGGAGTTTGGAGTTATCAAACAATCAATACAGATTCGACTATTAGTTATGAATTTCAGAATTATGAAATCATGAAAAGGCTATGTTAAGACTCCAACCAAGTACAACTCAATACTTATTAATTACAAAATCTAAAAATATGACTAAAAAGTTATTGTCAAGAATCCAAACCTACTTCAATAATATGTATTAATTTCTAATTTCTCTGTTAAATCATTGCAAATAATAAATTGTGACTCCAACACAAGTAAGAATTGGTAAGTAGGATGTGTTACATATAAACTTTGGATTGTTTTCATTTTTGAACCAAACAATTTTGGTTGTTTGAAATAAAATAAGTAGTTTTCTCTAGAACTTTAAAGCAAAGTTTACATATGCATTTCAGCAAAATCTTATATGATTTAAATTTTAATATTTATAATACAAAATATTGGAGAAAATGGAAATTGGAGATCAGTTTCTCTGTTTATAATGCTCTCTGTTTCTAAAAAAAAAAGTATCACTTCTCTGCCTATAAAAATAAAAGAAAATCACGTGCATGATTGCTGACAGCTCCATGGATGCATGCTCAGACCAGTGGGTAGCCATACCCATCAGCCTGGTGAGATATGAAATTGATTGCTACAAATATATGTAGGTCTGGCACCTGCAAGATCAAACGGTTGCCATGCCGGTTTGTATCCAAATAAATAAGCCTGAACAAAATTATCAAAGCTTCCATCGGATCGGGCACCCGATCAAAGACCAAATATGGGACACGGGGGTTCGCGTGCGCGCCCGCTGCTTAACTAGTGCAGCCGCGCACCGGCGCGCGTCCCACTGACGACTTGTCCCCACGTGCTGCCACCGCTAATTATGGCAATTAGTGTTAATTACTGTCATTAGCATTATTTTTAAAACAGTAACAATATAAATAATTCAGTTACCATTTTTTTTAGAAAAGTAATTGAATGTTTTAAATTTGTAGTCAAAAGATTTTGAAATTTGAGTTGAAAGTTTTAAATTTTCATTTCAACTTTTTAAATTTTGACATAGAAGTTTTCAAGTTGAGTTGAAAGTTTTCGAAATTGAAGTTGAAAGTTTTCAAATTTGAGTCGAAAGCTTAAAAAATTGAGTTGAAAGTTTTTAAATTTTGACTTCAAATTTTGTAATTTGATTTGAAAGTTTCGAATTTTTAGTTGAAAGTTTTTGAATTTTGAGATGAAAATTGTAAAATTGTGAGTTGAAAAAGTTTTCAAATGCTGAGTGGAAAGTTTTCAAATTCTGAGTTGAAAGTTTTTAAAACTTTCAATTTTAAAATTAAATCTTCTGTTAAATAGTTTAGTTAAATGTTCTAATCACTGCATGCATGTATGTACATGGGTTGTCTAATTACAATTAGGAGATACTACTACTAATTGAGTGTATATGACTGAATCATCGTTAATCATCGTTGAAAAGTCACTAGGCCCAGCAGGCCCATGTCAGACGCGAAGATGAGGCGCTGCCGTCGCGAAATGCTCGCGACTTGTTGATCTCGCGCATGCGCGCGAATTAGCAATCTCGATGGGACACTCCCCTAGGCATGTCTATTATAATATATATACCTATAATAAAGCTAATAAAAAAACTACATCAAAGTTTCTGGTTTTTCTTTGGTCCGTCTCCGTCCAGTTTTTTGTTTTGTCGCCTTTTTTAAATAATTTTATTTTCACGCGGAAGGGTTTTTTAAGACCGCCTTAGGGCATCCATCTTTTTCTTTTTTACCATTCAACAATTTTTTTAGCTGGTTTTTTCTTCAATCTCTAGCGGCCACGTTGATTTGCCTCTCCATGTGTTTCCTCCAATTAATTACAAAAATCTATTCCGAATTCTTTCCTTGTTACTTTCGCCATGATTTTCCCTATCAATCCGGCTTTGATAGCCGAATTCAATCACTATTTAACAGCCCCGCTGGGCCCAACCCTAGTCGCCACGTCGATCTACCTCCTCGTGCATTTCCTCCAACAATTAATTGCAAAAATCGATTTCTTGCTCATTTCTCCTTGCTGATGATGGCCGGCAGGCGAGCTTCCTAGCCGTTTTTATCCCAAGTTTTACGGATTCACTTCTCCAAGTACTTTGATTTTAGAAAAAAGGAAAAAAGGAGATCGAGTGGATCAATAACCGTCAACCAATTTTGAGAGATCGAGGAGTAGGTTTGAGAATGCTAAGTGTAGTTGATATTCTTTTCATTTCTATTATATAAACGAATGATTAAACATGTGTCGAAAAGTGAACAAAGTCATTAATAAGTTATATCTCCTTAGTTATCATTTTTAGATTTTGGATAACTGATTTTATTGGTGCAAATTATTTCATTTCTCTTGCGTAAAGTCAAGTTGCCTCAATTATTTCTAGGGTTATTTTTGTTTCTGCCCCTGCTTTAACAATCAATATTTGATTTTATCCTAACTTTTGAGGGCTTTCGTTTTTTAACCCACTTCCTTGAACCGAATGAGACATTTACTCCTGTTTTTAGCGGAAGTGGGTGGGACCGGACCTATTGCGGTAAAAAAATAGAGGAAAAAAAAGAAACAATGATTTTTCAAATTATTGATGGACTCTTTTACTCTGGAGAAATATCCCCATCACAAAGAGCGGCAGCGGCAACGATCGTGGGCTGGTCAGGCTTTGGGGAGCTGCAACCAGCCGGTCGACGGGGGCGACCCGGCCGAGCACAAGCCACCCGACCCCAGCTGCGGCGGCGAGTAGAAGGCCTACGCAGTACGTGGGAGGACGTGGCGGGTGACGGCAATGGCCCAGCCAAGCAGCGGCGGCACGGCGCGGAGAGGGGGAAACTGCAGCGACGGTTGAAATCTAAAGGAATAATACGAGGTTTCTTAACTTGTCGAGGAATCTGATTTTCCTCTCTCAACTAGAAAATCAGATATAATAGGTCTCTTAACTGTTAAAATTGGTGCAAAATAAGTCCCAAAATAGTTTGAACGGCGGATTCAGCTGACGTGACATCTACATGACTAATTTGACTCGACCCTCGTATGACGTGTCGCTTATGTGGTAAATTGATTTGGAAAATAATAAAAACTATGGACCCATATGTCAGTTAAAAAAATAATTAAAAAATGGTGGCCCATGTGAGCCCAACATGTCATTCTCACCCCCTCTTTTCTTCTTCCTCTCTCTCCCCTTCTCCCCTCTCCTCTCTCTTCTCTCTACAGATACCATCGCCACCGATTAATTACTTTTTTTATAACTGACATGTGGGTCCACAATTTTTATTATTTTCCAAATCAATTTGTCACGTAAGCACCACATCAATGCCACATCAATTAGATCGAGTCAAATTAGCCACGTAGGTGTCAAGTTAGCTGAAATCGTTGTCCAAACCATCTTGGGACTTATTTTGAATCGGTTTGAACAGTTAAGAAACCCGTTGTATCTGGTTTTTCGGTTGAAGGATGAAAAATCGGATTCATTGATAAGTTAAGAGACCTCATATAATAATGGAAGGATACAAATTGGACTTTTTCTTTCCCTTTACTACTCAAAACTGCTCGGGACTTCCAGGGCCTATTGGGCTTCGCCAGAGATCAGTGTCATCCTTTCTTCATTTTCCTCTCTCTCTTTCTAGAAAAAAAAAGAGAGAGAATTGCGAATATGCGATGCAGCAGCAGAGGACCAAATTGTAAAATTTCCGCACTGTTGTAGACAGCATATCTCTCTCGTTCCCCTTTTGCTCTCCGAAAACCCTAACCCCTCGCCGCCGATCCGGCCCTCCTCCGCCGCTGGCCGCCATGCCGGACGTGCAGCCGCTCGTCAGCGAGTTCGTCCTCAAGCTCAAGCGCCGGTAAGCAGAGCTCCCCCCCTGTCTCTCCCTCCGTTTTTCGTTTGCCTCGATTGGCCTTTTCGCATGTTGACGCGCTCGTGGGGGTGTGGGGGTGGTGCGGGGCAGCAAGGTGGAGGGGTCCCATGCCGTGGCGCGGCAGACGGCGGAGCTGCTGCGGTCGGTGGTGTCGCAGCACCGGATGGGCAGCACCAACCAGGCGGCGGCGCTTGCGGACGCCGTCCGCGGCGTCGGGGAGCAGCTCATCGCCGCCAACCCCATCGGTGCGCCCCAAAGAAAATTCCACCCTGTTTGAGGACTTGTGATTGACTCCTGTGCTTATTATGATATTTCTGTTTCTGATATATCTGTTGGCGTGGTTTACCTTAATTCTGTAGAATTATTGATGCTTGTTTTTGCTAGATAATGTATGGTTCTAGTTAACTGAGGGCTTGCAGAATAGATGAATTTCCTCGGAAATAGAGTGCTTGAGCTTGAATTTGAGAGGTTTTGTTTTATTGTCTATGTTTGGTCTCTCAAACAGAAGTGGCAGTCAAAATACTACTAGACAAGAACCATGTATTGGAATTGTACAACATTTATCTTGCAATATATCTTAAATTTTTAGTTTACTAGCGCACTGTATTTCTTTTCTACATGTGAAATGTCTAGTCTGTCACTACCAATACCATGCACTGACTGTATCTGAATGTTATAGAATATAAATTTGATCAAACATGTGTTCAGTTTTATGACTATCACATTAGATATATGAGATACAAATGGAGAGATCCTAGACCTAGCATTCCTGGGAAATTTCAAGTCCTTCCACGGGAGCATGTATATTCATAAGCTCCACCTGGCTTTTTTTTTCCAGAAGAGAGAATATTAGTTCTTGGTATGTCAGTCTCATGAATCTAACTTATTCATTTTAATGACATGTTAATGAAATCCATATCTCCTCTTTATCTGTCAATACGTAGGTCTAGTACTGTAATACGTTGGATTTTTGTCAGCTAATACAGTTAAATGTTCCTTGCTATAAAATCATCTATAGATAGAAAATTATTTATAGATGGATGTCAGCCATCAAGATTTATGAGTTATCCAGTTGCTTAATGGATCTTTGGATGTCAGAAATAATGTCTTTTCCCAGACCATACTGTATAGTGACTAATGAGTACAGGGTGATAACTCCTATTCCGTTTCAATTTAGTGTATAGCAGATTAGCAGGCACTATGCAAGTGGCTAATAGCTAGATCTACTGCTTAAACTTTTGGTAACATAAGATACACCACTCATCCTTTTAATCCTAAGCCCAATGCAAGCTGTTAATCAATCGGGATAAACTCCCTTTTGCAGAACTTGCTGTTGGAAACATTGTGAGACGTGTTTTGCATATAATAAAAGAAGAGGATATATCTTCTACAGCAGTTGGTATTGAAGGCCTTTCTGTCACCGCTGAGAGCGATGATGAATATGACAGTGGAAATGATGATCACCCTACCTTATCTGCTGCTGTCCTTGCTGCCCATGCTAGAAATGCCCTTCGGGCACCTTCATTGCAGACACTTCTGGAAGATATTCCTGTGAGCACTGCGCTTTCACGTTCCGCATCGTCGGCTGGGGACTCTGATGGAAAATGTAATTTTTTTTCTCACAAATTCTCTTTCACTATTCATGTTGAACCTGAACAAGTGATTCATGACTTTCTAAAATTATTTTTGAGTCATGTAGTCTTTAAGAAAAAAAAATAAATTTCCAATTTATTGTTCAGTTTGTGTTTCCTTGTTAGGGCCTGTGCATTCATTTATGTTACTGTTGGCACTGAAATTCTACATGTTCCACTTAAGCAGCTGGAGATAAGAGCTCAAAATCTCGGAAACTCAAGCATGATGTTATTGCAGCCATTGGTGATCTAATTGATGAAATTGATACGTGCTATGACCAGATCTCTGAGCAAGCCGTGGAACATATTCACCAGAAGTATGATTTCGTTCACAACAGTACAGTGTTATTGCTATTAATCTAAATTAATGTCATCTACGCTTCTTGTATGAGGTATTTACATGATGAAAATTGCTTTTAAGCTGTTTCATAGGATAGGGATCCTTGGCATATTTGTTCAGGAAAGCATTCATCGAATTGTGAATGGTTATTGGCTTTCCATCCTCTAAAACTAACAATCTCTCATCTTTACCATTTGTTGTTTACTCTATCTTCATCTCTCACTAGAATTTATCAAACAAGCAAAGCCTAATTGTATTCTGTAGTTGTTTGTATCTAAACATATAGTCCCTCTTGTCCCATAAACATGTTTTGGGCTGGTCCTGAAAATGCAGCTTTGGCCACTAATTTCTATTGCAAAATATTTGAAAAAACTGATAATATTATGCAAGTACCTATTGAGACAAATATATACGCTATTTTCTTGATCCTATCTAAATATTAAACAACTATATATATTTTGAGAAATCTAGTTTATTAAGATCTTGATGTTCACTGTTTTAAAGTTTGACTTGAAACATGTCCAAAATTACATGTTATGACTTGAGGGTATAGTTAAGAAAGCAGTCTGCGCCTATGGCACAGCGGAAATTATTACTACATGATATTAACCCAAGTAATATTTTTGAACGTAGTTCAGTTGGTACATTCTCAGTGGAGAGAACGACTGACCGCGGGTTCAATCCCTGATTGACTCACGGGCCTCACAGGGGTTTTTCCCCGTTTCCTGGGATCAACTTCAGTTGGTCCCTATTAGGTAATAGGGTACACACACGTGTGCGCGTTCAGTGGTACTGCATGTTTCCCGTGCACTGAGGCTTAGGACCTCAAATCTCTTTCCTAGCGTGTGTTAGGGACGCGCTCGCTTGTGTGCGTGTGTGTTGTGGTGTGAGTGTGATGTGTGTTCTCGTGTTTTTCCTGAGTTGTACCCTCTAAAAAAAGTAATATTTCTGAAGGACTTCTCTGTATTATTTTGTTTAAATAAGAGTCTGACAGTTATTATGCATGTGTATTTATTAAGATAACAATTTGATCCTATGGTCCTTTTAACACCTAAGGACCCTCTGAATATATATAGCTTGCTTATTCAAATGCTAATGTAGCTGACTACTGCTTTTCTTTGCTACAGTGAAGTAATTCTAACTCTAGGCCGCTCTAGAACGGTGAAAGAGTTTCTGTATGCTGCCAAAGAGAAAAAGCGATCTTTTCGTGTATTTGTTGCTGAAGGTGCTCCCAGGTATCTGCTCTTTGCCAACTTTGATATGGACTGAATAGTTCTTACGGATAGGAATTAGGATCTCCTTTTGCTTCATATTTTGTCATTTCAATGTTTGGATCAGATATAAGGGTCATGTTCTTGCAAAAGAGCTGGTTGAGAAGGGTGTACAAACTACTGTTATAACAGACTCTGCAGTTTTTGCTATGATCTCCCGTGTTAACATGGTATGTCTGCAGGGTGATTATTATTGTTCAGATGTCCTTGTATTTATTAGAAATATATTAACACTCCCGATTTATCTTACAGGTCATAGTTGGAGCCCATGCAATTATGGCAAATGGTGGAGTTATTGCACCAGTAGGAATGAACATGGTTGCTCTTGCTGCTCAAAGGCATGCTGTTCCCTTTGTTGTGGTTGCTGGCAGTCACAAGGTTGATTTCTGTATACTGTGCATTTAATTATGACATCGATAACCAGAGGTTGCTTTCTGAGCAATTAAATACAACATATGTTCTATTTCTTGAAGGCATAGATTATGTCATGCTGTCATTAGCCTGATATTATCATTCTGTGCATCTTATGTTATTAACCCAAAATCATTTTTCTTTAGCTACTATTATTCCCACTTTATTATTTTTAGTACTTCTTGTTTTGGCTCACATGGTTCGATTTCGGTTCATCTCCAGCCCACCCCAACTTGGGACTAAAGGCTTAAGTTGTTATTGCTGTTGTTGTCATGTTATTACACTTGTCCCTATGTAGTATTAGCTGGACAAAGTAGGCTCAATTGGTCATGATATAATGCAATCATTATACGATAGGATACCAATTATGCTTTAACCAGATATTTCTACTTTATTAAATTCAACACAAAACATTTGTTATCACCTGCTGCTCCTCACAAATCCCCTAGTCACCTCTGCCTTAGACTCAAAGTATATGCTACCAAGTCATTCATTCTTGTTGTTTATTTTAGTTCCGTGACAAGATACCTTGTCCTTGTGAGGATTAGCCCTGTGGCCTCTGAGTTGAAAATAGTGACCAGCATTTGACTGAGATCCCACTTATATGCTCAAGAGAAGTCATTTCTGCCTTCGAAGCTATAGATATTTTCTTAAGCGATTATTCATTCATAACAAGAGCTGTTATTTGATGTTTGAACATTTGGGTCACCTGGTATCACTAATAATGATTTGAAACACTATATCTTTGGGTAGAAACTTAATAATATTTCTTCATTCACATCGCAGCTATGTCCTTTGTATCCACACAACCCAGAGGTTTTACTGAATGAACTTAAATCACCATCTGATCTGCTCGACTTTGGCGAGTTCTCAAGTTGCATGAACTTCAGTACTCAGGATGGCACTCCTCTTCTGAATGTTGTCAATCCAACGTTTGACTATGTGCCACCAAAGCTTGTGAGCCTTTTCATCACTGATACGTAAGTTATCTACACTGTTTCTTCTTATCCATTAACAATGCTTGATTTTGCTTGCATTAACAATTGGGTATGGTAGAGCACATACACCATTAACTAAACTGGATGATATGTCTGCCTCATAAGCTATGTTTGTGTGATGAAATCATAATTCTCACATAGTACATCTTGTACTTAGTGCAAGCATTAAACTTCAGTTATATTGCATGGTCCTGATGTGTAAGAAAATTCCATTGACAATTGATTCTTCGAACTTATTGCTGAACTAATTTATGCATGTGCCAATCATTGTTATATTGTCTGTATATAATCATTACCCTTGTATTAAATCATTTCTGTGCTAACATAGTAATCTACCTTTATGTTACAGGGGAGGGCACAGTCCATCATACATGTACCGCCTTATCGCTGAGTATTACTCAGCTGATGATTTGGTAGTGCGGCGGAAGTCGACATCTTCATAGAACAAAAAAGGCGCACTAGAGTACTTTAGTATGTTGGCATTCTGAAGGTACAATCTAGGATGTACACAAATGCTGTTAGAGAGGTTGCTGTCCTCAATGGAATCAGCTGTTTTGATCTGGAAGTTGAATTCTGTAATTATTACCACCGAACCGCAACCAAGCATTTTGAGTGTAGACTGTTTGAGGCTATGGGCGTGACGGATGCCTGATTGGAACATGAATTGTATAAACTAGAGAAGGAAGCTACATATGTGATGCAGGGTGTAAAGTGTGGATGTTTTCGAGTCCGTGCATCCTGTGATCTGCCGAGTCCAAATTTTGTCTGTTCTTGAGTCCCAAATGTTTCATGCCAGTGTTAAAAGCCAAACATTGATGGACTTAGCTAAAGAATTTTCCTTATATATGTGTATGTATGTTCTCTACCACGGCATATGTGAGTTTACAAGTACAGAAAACTTTAGCTTGCACATTGCTAATCTCTCAATGACTCGTTTCGTAATCATACAATCTAGTACCGGCAATTAGGCATAAAAAAACTGTAAACTTGGAATTCTTCCATTCTCTTTCAGATGGGGATCGGATCGGATGGACTGCAGCACGTCGGACTCCGGCGAGGCCGGCGCCGCCATCGGCGGCAGCGAGAACCGCCCGTACGTCGAGCTCCCGCTCCGGAGCTCCTTCATCGTCGCCAGCGCGGCGACGGTGTTCCGGAAGATGCCCTGCTGGTCTGCCATCGGAGCCATCCCGGCGTCGCCGGAGCATCCTTTCCATGTCCGGCGATCGCCGGCCATCGCCGTCGTCGCCACGGAGGAGGTGAAGATGGCCTCCATGGTGGCCTCGCAGTCGCGGACGAGCCTCGAGATGAGCTCCGTCGTGAAGAACGGCTGCCGGAGCACCTTCTCGATGAACGGCAGCCGGAGGAGGCGGCCGGTGCGCTTGTCGTATTTCTTCAGGATCTTGGCCAGCCCTGCAATTTCACAGATCATCATCAATAATTCATCACCATGTTCAGCCTCTCTGGCTGCGTTCGTTTCAGCATGGTCCCAACCCTTATCCTTTGTTATCGGCGCTGCTAAACGGTGTGATTTTTTTAGAAGTTTTTATACGAAAGTTGTTTTAAAAAAATCAAATTAATTTATTTTTTAAAAAAGCTAATACTTAATTAATAATGTGCTAATAAACTGTTCCGTTTTTCGCGCGGAGAAAGTGGGTTCCAACCCAGTAAGGAACACAGCCTAGTCACTTACCGATCGATAGGGAAGACGATTAGTCTATAATATTTGTGGATAAACAGATCATCATCGTGTCTAACTATAATCTATATGGATAAACAGATTGTCTTTAGGTTGCAGTTACTGTTCTGTGCAAATGCACTGAATGAATTTTGTTGTGTAGAGAAAATTTTGGCTGTAATGTGCAGCCTGAAGATACTGTTGACTCACATGGGGACGGCTACGACAAGTCTCAAGTTGAACAGTGATCAAATCATAAGAAAATTTTCAAGTCAAAAAATCACTGTTAGTGCTACATCCGTCCTAAAATAAGTGTAGCCGTGGATATCCGTGCCCAATGTTTGACCGTCCGTCTTATTTAAAAAATTTGTAAAAAATTTGAAAATATTTAGTCACACGTAAAGTACTATTTATGTTTTATCATCTAATAGTAATAAAAATACTAATCATAAAAAAGGTTTAAATAAGACGAACGGTCAAACGTTGAATGTGAATAGTGCAAAACTGCATTTATTTTAGGACGGAGGAGTACTGTTGTATCAGAAGTTGTTAAGCACACAGCTACTACAAATGATGCTCACCTGTTTGCGCCAAAAAAAAAAGATTTTAAAAAGAAAAAACTATTCCCCCTGGTATGGTGCTCTACCCGGGCCCATCGAAATATTTGAAATTTGGGAATTGAGATCTCTTTGGGAATACCAGTTCGTAATTACTCCGTACGAACCTTGTCACGGGTCGTATACGAAAATTCTGAAAGTTTTCACCTCCTAAGTTTGAATTTGAAATTTGAAACCAAACTCAAACCTGTGTAGTTGACGGCGCTGTAGTTAAGCAGCAGCACCATCTCCCCGTGCAGGTCCACGATCTCCTTCCTCACCCTCCTCATCTCCGCCGCCGCCGGCCGCCGCCCTCCACCGCCGCCGCCGGCCACCTTCTCCACTGTCTCCTGCAGCTCCTGCGACGAACAATGCACGCAGGCTCACAATCATCATCTCAACTTCCCAAAACCAAAAATCTTTGCTGCAGAAATAGCTAATGCAGAGACCCTCTGCCGTATGACGAACTCCTCCTCCTGCTCGAGGAAGAAGGCGTTGATCCTGTCGACCTCGCCGTCGAGCAGCCGCACGAATTCGGCCTCGCCGCCGCCGCCGCCGCCGACATCGCCGGAGGAGGAGGAGACGAGCCTGACGAGCTTCTTGAGGCGCTTGTACGCCAAGAACTTGTCCCTCCACTCCGGGAGGCTCTCCTCCACCTGCTTCTTCAGCCTCTTCCCAAACTTCATCCTCCCCAAACTGATTAATCAAGAACAAATCCCTAATTTACATGTAATTAGCTAGCTATTATCTACAACTTCCATAAAAAAAGAAGGTATGATCCACAAATGCATTGTAGTGGGCATGTTTGATTTTATGGAGGGAAGGGAAGAAGTGAGAGAGGCATGCATTTGTCATATGGAGTGCAAGAAGGGGTTTAGTTTGGAATATTTGGAGCATATGCCAATATGCCATGGTTGCAACTTAGGCATGGAGAGAATTTAGGGTGTGCCACATTGATGGTGTACTACTACATGACTCCACAATTCCTTGGCAATTAATCCAAAGAGGTAGTACCACCACTGTTATCCATGTGAGCTACTACCACTGTTATTATCAATAGTCTCTCTGTCTCATTCTAATTGTAATTATGGATTTTCGTGCCTAACGTTTGACCGTCTATTTTATTTAAAAAAATATAAATTTTTTAAAAAAAAGTCAAACATAAAGTACTAATTTTTAAAAAAATTCAAATAAGACGGACGGTCAAACGTTGGACACAGAAACCCATAACGGGGGGAGTACTTAGGATATTGTCACCAAAACATGTGTCATTTATTTGATTTCTGATCGCAACTGTGACGTGCCATACTTTCTTAGCTCTGCCTCGCTTTATATCTAATGGCACACATATCTCCCAGTTTTGTGTATGCGAGGCTTTCCATACTTTGCTAAGTGTAACCATCGCAACAGAAACCTTGTCCATCTGATCGTCAGCATGATTTTTTGGAAGTAGAATAACCAAAGAAAATGCCATTTCAGCAGCAAAACAGATTGTGCTTTTCCCATTGCTGAAGAGTAAAACGCACTCAGCCCAATTATATGACCAATTAAGCAATGAGATAGCCAGAGAAGTCTTGAGACAAGAGTAAAGCGTCAAAGAGAGGACTACTGAAACAGAAAGGCAACAACATATACTAGGGCATATTCCATGTCAGGTCAGGGTCCAGAAGCTCTGAACATCCAGAGAGTTTTTCTCAATGACCCCCCTTGATCCACATTAACTATCCACTGTTCATGCAAGGCATGATTCCATGAGAATATTGGATCTCTTGAAGTGATATTAGTTGGCATTGCCCATAGTTTGACATGGGCAGTAGAACTTTCTCACTGAATTCTTTTCATGTACCTTTCTCATCGAAGTGATTTTTCACCATCCTACCTAGGTACTACCGGATAGTGATTAATGGTCCTTGGATTCATTCATATCTTAATTAACTTTTTGTTAAAGAATTTTGATGACACAATGGCACGAGATATCTTTATTCTCTGAACTTTTGGAACAGAGTCCGGTTCTAGCTAGGTTGTCATCTTGTAACTCTTCGTCTAGAGAAATTAAGGAACCAAAGCATCTTCCAAGGTTAGGTGCTTGGAAGAAAACAAGAAACAAAAGGAACTCGGTGTGTTAAATTGCATGTCGTGTGTTTGTTGGAATTTCTTTTGAACCAACGCGTTAGTATGGGGCTGTTTGGTACAGCTCCAACTTCTAAATATTACTCCAGGAGTTGTGTCTAGAGTGGAGTTGTGGAGCTGCCTAAACCCAGCTCCACAACTCTAGTACATTTTGTGAGAGAACTCCACCCAACTCCACTCCCAATTTTAGTGAAGCTGAAACTGTTTGGCTGAGCTCCAGCTTCAGGAGGAGCTGCCAAACAGGAGCTGCCAAGCAGGCCCTATACAAAAGTGGAGAACGCTTAAAAATACTCCGTATTATACTAGAAATCAATGGTCAACTTTGCTTTTAAAGACTTTTTCTTCAAACAAAATACGCCTTGTAAAAATCTACAGTGGTACGTAGCAATAATAACATATATAAGCTTGATACAGCTCTACTAAGGGCATCTCCTCAGAAATGATTTTTTCATTTCTACATGATGACATTTATCATCACAAGTAACAATTAATAAATTATAAAAAAAATTTGGGGAAAATTAAAGAAAAAAAATCGATGCCTGCAGTTAGAGTAAGGATCTATTGCCTTCTGAATATGAGTACATTTTTCCCCTCTTGAGAGGAAATTAATTGAAAACTAGCTAGGCAAGCACCAGGCCATTCTAGATGGGTGTTGGCCCAAGCCCATTAAGTTTGAGCCCTTATTTCCAAGGACTTGATCAATATTTGAACTGGGCCGCGCTCTACGCTGAGAAAAGAAAAAGGGACGTACGTCTTACTATTACTCCCTCCAGGTTAATAATACTTGTCGTTTTGAACAAGGGCACGGTCTCTAAAAAGTAACTTTTACAACTATTTTTTATTATAATATATATAGAAATTTCAACATATATATATGATTTTATTTAAGTACTTTTTAAAACTAATCTACACATGGTTTTCATATTTTTAAGATAAATATTTTAGAAATTATTTGTAGTCAAAGATTTTAAAGATTGACTTTACAGTTGTCTAAAACGACTAATATTATCAGCCCGGAGGGAGTACTCTACTAGCTGCATTAGTGACAGATGAATGATACTGAAATTTCAAATAATTGGGGGAATTGATGGACAAATACAAAGTACTCGAACCTATGCAATATATACTGTGACTAATTTGTCATGCTGTATGTGGACTCTTCTGACTACTTCTGTGATTACTACAGATATATGTAGATTGTATATTTTCCTTCAGCACTATATAAACGAGAGTGCAACAGGATAGCTTATGAGAAACTTGCTCAACTTAGCAAACCGATCAGGTCAGAATGCGGTTTGACGTGAGACTGCTACGGCTAGTGTTTTGCAATACCTGCCGTATGATTGTAATTCTGTTACTTAATTAAAAGCTCTCGGTTCCCCCAAAAAATATATATATTCCTTCTGATTATAGGAGTCGAACACTCCTTTTAAAATTTGATATATTGTCCAAGTTGTAAACTATAAACGAGCGTAAATTGAGGTGAATGATCAATAATAAAGTTGCTCTAATTCTGTCCCTCTCCAAACCTCACAAAAGCCCTATTGAGACATATTGCCGGCCTGTGGGACAGCTTGTGTACATGTTGAGCACCCGATCTCATGCCCGCGGTGATCGTGGACGTCCCTTTTGTCCCTAATCCCTACACGTGGACAAAAAGATGGACATATGACATAATATAGATTGCTTAAGAATCGACACAAATATGAAAAGAAAATGATGAAAATGAGAAGTGTAAGAATATTTAATGACGGATATTTAACCATTTAGGTCGTCATTTCTATTCCCTAAAAAAGTGCTATATAGACACTTAAAATGGGACAAAGGTAGTATCCTATCTTACTATAAAGTTATCCCTAACTAACTCCTTAAGTTTAACATGTAAAGATGCCACATTATCATCCACTAACAAGATGCCACATTATCATCCACTAACAAGATACCACATCACCATCCACTAATTAACAAGATGCCACAACATCATCCACTAACAATCATCACATTTAAACATCATGCAAACATGCTATATCTTTATATTTTTTATAATTTAAGAGATTTTCAAATACAAACATGTTAAATTATCATCCAACATAATTCACAAAATGTGTCAATGCATATCTTTATTATGTTTTATGATATCCTATATACTTATATAGTTCATTCTCACTTAGTTAGTGCTTAAATGATTAATCTATGGTCCAAATTATCTTTCTCCTTTTTTCCTCTAATTAAGTCATATCACATCAATTATTTTTAGCCTTCAGATGATTAATCTACGGTCCAAACTATCTCCCTACTTTTCTTCTTCCATAAAATCATACCACCTTACTTTTTACGTTTGAATCACCATTATACATACTATTTAAATTTAAATTATCATAAACCACATTAATTTACTTAATCTTATATTATCTAGCTATCTACATGTTATTTTTTATTATTATCATACTAAATTCCCGTAGCAATGCGCGGGGTTTTACCTAGTTAACTAGATGATGATGATCCATGCTTGGTAGCGGATTATATAAATAAATATATGTTAAATATTGTATAAATGAGTGATGGATTTGGTTGAAATATTGTGAAAGTAATATCACTAATGATAATTTAACATTCTTGTATGCTGAGTTTTTTTAATATAACTCATAGATGTAATTACTATGCTTGTATATGTTAAGCTTTATATGTTTATTGGGTGGATATGGCATGCTTGCATGCTAGCTAGGATTTAAAACGTACTAATAGTTGCTATATATGCTTAAATGTGAAGCTTTAGCTATTCAGTGAGTTATAACTATATATCCAGAAGATAAAGATTAAGATGATAGACTCACAGTGTGTGTATACTACTACTCCTTCCTCTCAACAAGGAATACAACCATAGTATTTGTATATCAAATTAGTAGAGCAAAATGATCTAAGTGTTTCTACTTAAATAAGGGGTGGTTAGGATTAGGAGGATCGTTGAAGTAAGATGAGAAATTTAAATAAACGTTAATTGTTTGGATAAATAGCACAATAGGATTTTATTCTTTTAAGCCAAAGTTTAACTTTAGGATTATATATATTTGTAGTTGGATGGAGGCAGTACCATATGTGAATACTAGATATCTTAAAGGTGCTAGATTAGCCGGCCTCCCAGGCATTTGGCTACTGTTGACCAATCGTCTTGCGACACGTTGCTGTTGGCTGGGCGTCTTGCGGGCCGTCCGATTCTGCGTTTGAGCCTCATCCATCCGTCCGTGCCTCCCTGTTGGTCGTCCTTGCCGAGGCGTCGATTTGGTGGCCGCTGAGCCTCCCACGTCGGCCGTTCTTCCTCTCTCGCCGTCTCGCGCAATCGCGCTCGCACGCACGCGCCGCCTCACCTCCTCCCTCGCGCGCACCGCCTCGCCCTTCTCCTCTCCTCGCATGTGCCGTCATCGCCACCGCCGTTCCACGCTCTTCTAGCCATCTTCGCCGCGCCGGAAGATCCAGCCACCCGGACAAGAGTGGTGCTGGCCGTCGCTTCCCTCTTCTCCCCTTTCATCTCCACGCGCCCACCGCTTCCCTCTCCTTCACGCTCTCCACTCCGCTCGGGTGCCCGATCTGGTTCGAGGGTGGCCGGAGCCGATGGTCTAGGCCTCCCCACCGGTGGATCTGGCTGCCCTCGCTCCGGGCTCTGGCGCCGGGGATGGTGCTCGTGCTCCCTCGACTTGTCCGTACACCCTTTACCCCTATCCTCTGCACGATACGGTGGCGGCGGGAGGGCGGAGAGAAGCAGCTGTGCCGCATTAGCTCTTCGCTGGTTTCAGAAACTCAACTTGTTCCAGGTATAGTTCCAGGTGCTCCGTGCTCGTCAGGGCTGAAAGAGATTAC